AAGCTGCCCCTGCCCCCCTTTTCTCAGTGCTGTGCCTTTGCGATTGGTTAAACGTAGCCACCAAAACAAACATAAATATGGCACTATGGGGTACAGAAGGACAAGATTCCAGACCTCATAGTGTGTTCCCAAGGTCAGGCTGCCCCCCATGGTCTGTGCTCTGTCAGTGTAAACCTTTGTTTTATCTCTCCTGCCCTTTTTCTTTTCCTCCTTCTCTTTTCCACTTTATCCCCTCCTTTCCTTCATCAGGGCCCCCCTGGAGCAATTGGGCCAGTTGGTACCAGAGGACCCAAAGGCTTGCGGGTAAGTTTGTAATCCTGCACCTGTTGCTTTTGCAGCTTAGGTGTCAACCGGTGTTCTGTAGTCAGTTTAGTTCCCAGATTTAAGAACAGATCATATATTTGGCAAAACTATCTAGATACATATCACTTAGCAGTTATCTCTTCCATCCTTTTCAGAAGTCAGCACTTATTATAACATCTTGAAGAGTGATTAAAACAAACAGCTCTTTTTTTTTTTTAAATTCAAAGATTTTAAAGATTAAATGGTTATTAGTTATTGGAAGGACCTGCTGTCAGTCCAACTACTTGAAATTTGTCATGGAAAATGTTACCTGGCTTTTTTGTCTATTCTAGAAGCAGATATGTTTAGCAGGCTGGGAAAACAGGATTTATGGGCCGATTTGCTTTTTTCAACCGTTCCAGTCTCTTTGTGTTGGAAAAAGGCTACAAATCCATAAAACATCAATCACAAAAACCACGAGAGCTTTCTTTAGACCTGCAACCTTTCTAGTAACAGCTATGGAATTACAGCTGAGTTTTGTATTTTTCCTAAATGTGCTACACATTTGCAAGGGCTTTCAGATAATGGTGGAATTTTTATGACAGTTATATTCTTCTGTTTGTCATTTTGCAACACATCACAGTAGTAAAAACTTGAGTTTGACATATAATATCTGAAAGCTCTGAATGGACAGATGTTTCACATTAGCATTACACCAAACACATTGTACCTGTTCTGTTACATCACTGTATGTTGCTGTTTCACCTCTCTTATGCAGATTAAATAAAAATTAGCTAACTACATTGTATCAAATTATTCTCCAGAGTATTTTGTGAGCGAATAAAACAAAGGGATAACAGCTGGAATTTTAGCTGTGTAAATGCTACTGAGAAATCGTTAGATCATTTAAGTGCTGTTCATAAAATTGGGCCTTTGGAACAACATATAGCAAATACTTGAATTCACATTTCACAGAGGGATTAAAAGTGGGTTCCAAGAGGATTTAGTTGCAATAATTAATGATTTTTTTTCCAGAGGTTTTTAAAATATGTCTTTTAACATTATTGTCCAATGAGCCAAATGAAAAGTGGGATAAAATAGCACTGAACTTCTTAATCCGAGGCAGCCGTGAGAGACTGGCCTCGATGGGGTTGGCCTGGACACACTCTCATGTCTCCAGCTGCGTTTTCAATTAATACTAATATCACCAACTTCTGCTGCATGTAACTCTGCCTGCTCTTTATGAGTTATGTTGGATAGTCCAAGCTTAGAAAACTGTGTAGCCAGCCAGAAGACATAGAAATGGTTGTCTCACAGACATGTGCAACAACAGACTGGTGTCTCACCCACACACACACACACACACACACACACACTGTTTTTCATGTATCCTGTGTCCACCTGGACATATAGAAGTTGCACTAAATAAATGGATTTCACTTAAGAGGTCATGAATTTTGTGTAAAATCAAAACACAAAGTCTAGGTTAAGACAGGCAACTTAATGTTTCCTTTGATTCATCAGGGTGGTTTTCTTAATGCTCCATGGCCTTGGGCAGCCCAAATGAAAAATCTGGGTGTGAAATTAGACTCCATGCAAAAGATCTTAAAAGATTTTGGCACCATATGCTTCTTAGATGCTTAACTACTTGGCTTGAGGCACAGATTCTCAATGTTGACAGAAATCCAACATCTGAATTCACTCTCAGAAACATGGCAGTGGGCCATTTTCTATCATGGAAATATTATAGAATCAAACACAATAAAACTACACGAGACCGCACATTGGCATCAGTCTAAAGCCAGGACCACTATTGCCTCCGTTTGTCTATGTCTGTGTTTCATTTGCATTCAAAGCATTTTTAATGGACTCAAACCTGTGGATGTCAGCCATGGGGAGTCACTAACCTGACTAATCATGCTAATAACTCCTCATAACATCTCACCTACAAATCCTCAGTTAATGTTTCCCATATTGAAGAGCATATTAATCTCATTATCCCTCTAGGCAGCTGGTGGTTTGTATCAAGCTGATTTAAATGGATGTTTTTAATTATTTGAAAATTATGCCCTGGTGTTTCTTTTCTGCCTTTGTTTGAAAAGAGTCAGACACTTATGGTGCAAATTAATTTAGCTCTGTGCAATTAATTCACTTTGAAGCATAATATTTGAGCCCCTTTCTATGGCCTGATTGAGTGAGGTATTTACTGTACACATTGGCTAAACAGGTTATGTAAACGTAACCAGTGGGTAGCGTGCACCCCAGACAGGAATGTTAATTAGCACTGCTCATCGAGCTCTACATACAGTATAATAAGCTTATAGCACTTCGGCTAGTGGTGTTCTCCACAGCCCAGACTCCCACTGTGCCAAGTCTTCTACCATTCCCACAACAAGACTGAATGTGTGGCTGTGTCATGTTGTATTACATTTTCCCTTTAAAATAATAAATGCTCCAAAGGAAATCAGAGTTTACCAGTTACTGTTGTGATCATTGGTGATTATCAGCTACTGAGGATCTTCTCAGTGTTGGTGTCAGTGAGTGAGCATCTCCCACAGTGCAGATGTGAAACTTGTCTGGGTGCAGGTGTAGAGCAGATAGACTATACCGGTCCACTGACTGCTCACTGGACTGGCTAATATTTATGCACTTTAGACTGATTATGTTTGACAGTTCCGCCCATGTAAACTAAACAGTCCGTTCTGACAGTGTGTGTGTGTGTGTGTGTGTGTGTGTATAAGTGTAACCAGTATCTGTCTGTGTGTGCCCAGACATTGTGCCCTGATTCTAGTATTAAAATAATCCATGCCCTGTAGAGAGACCTGTAGCTATTTCTAAACTGTCCCTCTCCACAAATACAGACATTCACCTTTACACACACGTACATGGTGTAATACCATATTTATGTAGTTTATTTGCATAGTAACCTACACGTTGCCCCTGACATAGGGATATTTTTGTGTCATACTATACAGTGATGTTTGTTTACTGTATTTTGTGGCTATCTGGCTGTGATACAGTGACCTCTGTTGGTGAAGTGACAGCTGTCTTGTGTTACAGGGAGCAATAGGGCCTGACGGTCCAACAGGAGAGATGGGATTAGAGGGCAAGAAGGTAAAAAACTTCAATTTTTTTCCTTGACACATAAAACTAGAAACATTCACAAAGTCAAGCTGTGCAGACACGAGAGTAAGGACCATAAATCAGCATATAATAGCGCAAAAATACTGACTTCAGCATATATACTGTAATAGATTTTTAAGATGGAATGCTTTTGTACTCCTAAAATAGAAAACTACACATATTCTCTATACACTCAGGAAGCATAAAAAATAAAATAGGCTGGCATGTCTCAACAGACAGCTATCTCTCATCCCTCTCTCCACAGGGTCCTGATGGTCCTCCAGGAAAAATAGGTCTCCCTGGACAACAGGTAAATCACTGGGGTACTCCTTCCTGTCATATGTTTTTGGTGCTTATGTTCCTCTGGAGAGGCTAGGCATCAGCATAATTTAAAAAACCTATAATACATGAGACCTTCAGTGTGTAGGCCCAAAGTCAGAAACGGTATATTATACTTTGGGTGAGAGCTCTGCAGACTGTGGACCAGATTTACATACATGAAAGTGAACTACAAACTGTTATGCATGGATCATCGATGATATTTGAGTCTTTATTCAGGCTGCAATTAATCTCTTCCTCTGAAACAGAACTGCACCTCCACCACCATATTTGGTCATTACCATCACTAAAAATAGTAGTAGTAGGTGTCAGTATATCAGATTAGGGATAAATGATAAGAGACGGAGGGACATAAAAGGAGAGTAAAAGTTTCATATTCAAAAAATGATGTGAAATCTAAAAAGTGCATTTGCCATTGCTGACTGGAAGGCAAGGTAAAGTCATGGCCACAAACTCCCAACTTTGTTTTTGTTTCTTCTTGTGTTGTACAATAGTCAGACGTGTTCATTAAAATGCAGGATAGGCATAAAATAAGGCACAGAACCTCAGTAAATCCGGCCCTACTGTATATGTTAATGTACTTTCTTTTTCAAGTACAGTGTTAAACTTCTGTGAGCATCACAGATGATGTGCTAAAGAACCCTGACCTAATTTATCCTGACGTGCAAATTTTTCTTTTCATTGTGTTTCTTCAGGGGAAGATCGGCGAGTCAGGGGAAACTGGGCCTAAAGGTTTTCCAGTGAGTTCGCTCTGCTCATTTGTAGAAATAATATTCCTATACTGCTGAAGAGATAATGCATACAGTATATGTTGAACTAACTGGCCCTTCTGCTTCCAGGGAATCCAAGGGCCCTCTGGACCGCCAGGGGACAAGGGAATAGCAGGTGAACCGGTATGACCCTCTCTCCATCCTTTCACATCTTTCTATTGATTCTTCGTCTTCGCATCTTTACATTTCCCCTGACATATCTTGATATCCTCAGCTTCCTCAGTCTGTTCCAGTCTCTCTGTTTTCTCACTTGTGTGGTATCCCACTCTCCAGGGTCAACCTGCCATCATGAAACTTTTCCTTTTCTTTCATAATCATACTAACTAGTAGATTCTCTTTGGCAACATACAGCAGCCTGGTTCTCTCTATTCAGGACGTTAACTCCAAAATATCACAGCCAGGAGGTAATTTATGAGACATATTTTAGCAGGTATACATTTTGCCTGTATTAAACATTTTCTCCAGAGCAGCCAGAATTGTCACACCCTCCACAAATCTGTTCTGTTCTGACTAGAGTGAAGTGTGAGCATGCAAAGAAGATGAAAAAGAAGTAAATGCTGAACTCATGCACCTGCAGGAAAAATAGATCTGATTATGTATTGCCATAATGAATAAAACCTCAAAAAAGGCTATCCTTTTGTGGTTTTAGTTTATCAGTGACGAGAGCTGCAAAGCAGAACGAGCAGGATAGAAAGTGTCAGTTTGTCATGGTGGTTTTAGCTCATGAATATTAGAGACAGGCACCCATGACCTTTTTGTTTTTATTATATGAATGAATCATTGGTTCATATTCTTCTGTTTCCTATTAAATAAAACATGGATTTCTAGCCCAATATCTAATGTACTCATAGAAGTATGCCTATAGTTAATAAAACAGTTATGCACAAGTTTGTGCTTTGCTAACAGTTGGTTGACTTCTTGGCTTACATTTACACCGGCTGCACTGTGGTTGGCAATAACAAAAGATTTAATTAATATCTGAGGGAAGGTGAAGTTCCCAGTGTGTATCCCTCATTGTATATAAAATATTGTTAAAATAATCTTTCCCCTCTTAATCAGTATCCATTTTCTCATTTCTTGTGCTGCACAGTTGCTTTTAGTGACAGGCGATTTAGTTATGAGCCCTGCTGTTAATTTTCTTTGGGCTCATAATCAGCAGCATGAATTTAAGAACACATGGTTGACTTCAGATATATTGTTACTATTCTCTGGAATAAATGCAAGTGAACTGGGGAGCAACTATTATTCATATGTGCTGATATAAAAAAGCCATTCATGGTAACACATCAATGTTTTTCAAACATAATTAGAGACACATTCAGAGCCAAACTGTGCACAGATTGTTTACTGACTTATTTGCCATTGCTCATCCATAATCAAGTAGACAGATTGTTCCTATTTTTGCCCTTATGAAATGAAATCTGATTTGGGTTCATGTGAAACACCCTTGGTATCTGTTTTAACCTGACTGTCATTAAAGTATTTTTGCTGGTATCTATAGGGACCACCTGGACCACCAGGGACTGTGGGACTGTTGGGAGAAATTGGTCAAGTGGTGAGAGACTTTGCAAACATGCACACTCGTGCACACACACACTCAGGCATATGCACACATTCATGTGCACACACACGAAGGGTGTTGTGAAGACTAAATGATAAAATATGACATCTGTTGTGCACCCTGTCCCAGTGAATTTGTTATGCTCTTTCACTGAAGTAATCTGTCCAATTAAACTAATTAACCCACATTAGGGCATCGTCTATCTCTCTCTTTGTCATGACAATATGTGACGGAACTCATCTCTGACATATTGTTGATATCTAATGCCAAAGAGTCATTAGCCCTTAATTCATGAACAAAATCATTCAACATTTCCTTCTCTCTACTATTTACTTATTAATAAGGGTCCTCCAGGGAAGGCTGGGGAACCAGGACTGCCAGGCGAGCCAGGAGAGAAGGTCAGACAACACACAGTTCCAGTTTTTAACCTGATATATATAATACTGGGTATGTTATAATTTTACATCAGGGTTTAATATCTGTCTGTGTGTGTCAGGGAGCCATTGGACCTGCTGGGAACATCGGGGAGCAGGGACTAATAGGACAGCGAGTACGTTTATCAGCATTAAGCACTGCTAAGAGCTGGTGCTACTGTTCATTTCATTAACTTAATTTATTTATTTGTATTTATTTGTGTACAGGGTGAGCCGGGCCTTGAGGGAGAAGGTGGTCCAGTGGGTCCAGATGGAGCCAAGGTGAGATTTGTTTCCTAAAATGTTGATGTTGTTTCATTAGTGTGTGGAGATAACACCTCCAAAACTATGCCAGAGACAGCTTTTACCTGGGTTTTGCATGTTTTATGTACAAAATATTAAACAGTGTTAGTTTTTGTGTATATCTCAGGGTGAAAAAGGTGACATGGGTCAGGAGGGCGACCAAGGAGAAAAAGGTGAAACTGGACTAAAGGGAGCAGAGGGTCCACCTGGAAGCCCTGGACTGACTGGTGTCAGAGTAAGTTACCAGACCTGGTGCTAAAAGTCATACACACACATTTTCTGTAGAGTGACTTACATGGACACTCAGATTCCACTTTAAGATGTTTCTTAATCTTGTTTTCCCTCTATAGGGTCCAGAAGGGAAGCCTGGCAAAAGTGGGGAAGGAGGCAAACCAGGGTCAAAGGTATTAACATCAAAACATCTCTGAACAGTTTTAGTCTTCTGTAACCACAAATATGTACACATAGTGACACAAAAATGCCATGACTGTGATTCTGTAACTTATCTTTGTGGATGTTAAGGGTGCCAAAGGTAACCAAGGGTACCTTGGGGAGACTGGACCAGTGGGCAAGACAGGACCACCAGGTTTTGTTGGCCCAAAGGGGTCCAGAGGAACTACTGGACATGTGGTAAAATCAAAAGTCACATTTGAAATCACAAGCACTTGGCATAATAACTTTGAACACCATCTGTTGTTGTAATTAATGAAGGCTGTGACTAAAAACATGACTTTTGCTCCCTGTAGGGAGCTCCTGGTCGAATGGGTCAACAGGGTGAACTTGGTTTTGCAGGTTATGATGTAAGAAGCCTTATTATAAGTACAGACGAGTGACAAATAATAGGAAAAACCCGATGGGAATGGTCTCTTCTAGGATGACAGTGCTCCCATCCACAGTGCACGAGGGGTCACTGAATGGTTTGATGAGCATCAAAATGATGTGACTCATATGCTGTGGCCTTCACAGTCAGCAGATCTCAACCCGGTTGAACACCTATGGGAGATTTTAGAGTGGCATGTTAGACCAGGCTCCGTGCCACCATCATCAAAACACCGAATGAGGGAAAATATTTTATAAAAATGGTGTTTATCCTTCCAGTAGAGTTAATTACTAAGACATGTTGTGTTTTTCCTTTAATTGCTCACTCATCTGTTTTTATCTACATGTTTATGGGCATTAAACATTAAACAAGAATTGTATGGTTATCTGCATCTGGTGTAGTCATTTCACATAATATGATTTCTTGTATCTGTCTCTGCAGGGCCATCAGGGATCATTAGGTCCCATGGGGCCTCCTGGACCAAAAGGTGAAAAGGTACACGTCGTTCGCTTTATGTGTAACCCTGCTCTCTTATTAATCTTCCTTATCTTAAGTCAGACATTCGCTCAGTTCCCAGTATATCTTTATAAAGTCTGAAGTGGCCACAACTCAGCTGAAAATAGATCAGTAACATCAAATATACTGTATTTAACTGAGCAATAAAATAAGCATCCCAAAATGCAGCGCTCTTTATAGGCAGCTTGTACTGATCAGTCTTGGTTTGAGTGATTTGATACCTCAGTACCTGGAGAAAAGTGATGTTATACACATGGGGTTTTGGTTTGATTTTTTTCTGTAACATCATCATAATCGGCCATGTGAGCACAACTAAACGACAACATATTTTATGCAACATTGTTAGGACACATTTCAAAAGAGTAGAGTGTACTAAAACATCAGGGTTGTGTATCTGATAAAAGAAAAACATCTAAATTGTCATTATTTTGATCTTTATCTGCAGGGTGAGCAGGGAGATGATGGGAAAGTAGAAGGTCCTCCTGGTCCTCCAGGTGACATAGTAAGCCATACTTGACTTACTTTTCTCCTTTCTACTGCTGTTTGTCTTCTATAAGGTTGCTGTTTACTCATTTATTTCTTGCTTTACCAGGGTTCTCCAGGTGACAGAGGAGAGAGAGGTGAACCAGGAGATCTGGGGTACAAAGTAAGTACCATCAATCCATATTACCTTAAAATTATATACATGTTTATAAGATCAAGTTTCTGTTGCTCTTTCTCAGGGTCAAGTTGGTGTGGATGGAGAGAGAGGCAGACCTGGAGCTCCTGGACAACCTGTGAGTGTTAAAACTTGTGATTTTCATGCACAGTTCTATTATTAAGTTTACACCAACAGACAGCAGCCACGCTCAAACAGTTTGTCTTTATTTACTTTTATGAACATAACTGGCAATTTCAGGGACAGCCTGGACCTCGAGGGCGGCAAGGACCCAAAGGGGCCAAAGGAGATCAAGTAAGCATGTTGAAATTAAGGCGTGTATGTTTTTGCTGTGTGCAGTAAAGGATGGTTGATGCTTCTATCTCCTATTTTATTGACATTTATCAGCAAGGCCACAGCAACATCAGGTCTCTGGTAAAGTGAGGAAGGTAGCTACAGTCATATAGCACAGATCAAGAGAAGCATCTAGTGAAGATGTCATTAATCAGTCTGAAATAATGTAATAATACTAAAGGACTGTGCTTTTATTGGTTACTTCTCGCTTGGGAACTGCTGTAACTGCAGTGCTCATCACTTGCTCATATTTTCTTTCTTCACTGAGTGGTATGCAAGTGAGTTTTGGATGCGCCACATCTGGATATGTTTTACTGTTGGTCATTAGCACTGACCAACAGTAAAAATCAATTTTATTTTTAACACTATTTCTCTTATCTTTTAAGGGTCAGAAAGGCAAAAAAGGACAGACAGGACAAAAAGGAGCCCGAGGACCAGAAGTAAGTCAATGATTTCCAGTGCATCCACACCTGCTTCATTTACTTATAAAAGACAGATGTTTTGCCTGCTCTCAGCCTGTAAAAACCTTTTGCTAGAATACATGGAAACAAGGCATTAAAAAAGTAATAAACAGATTAACCTAGCAAGGGGAAAACATGTGTGCTAACTTACCTAAGTAAAGACAGATGAAAAAGAAGGCACTAATGTTCATCTTTTGGCCTCTGTTCTCCTCAGGGTGGGGGTGGCCCTCCTGGTCCCAGAGGTGTGGTGGGCCGAGAGGGGCAGGAGGGCATTGCTGGGGTGGATGGGGCCCCAGGGAAGGATGGCAATAAAGGCATGCCGGTAAGACAAACAAAGACATCTCAATAATAACTTGTTCGTTAACCTTATTTATTTTATTTATACAAGGTAATATAGTCCTGCTGACACCCCTAAAGGCTTTCATTATACTACACAATGAAACTGTGTTGGACAAAACCAAAAAGAACTTGATGAACTTGTGATGCTTAGAGACGGATGGCAAAAAAGGGTACCGTAATTAAACTCTAAATGGTTTATCCCTTTGAAACCCTGAATGTAGTCAGCAAATTTAAATACCTTTCTATGTATATATTAAAAAAAACATGTATTTTGTTATAAGCTGACATTATAACCTGTGAGTGATAAAACAAAGCTCAAAGAGTGCACATGAATGAAAAGGTCTCATCCTCTGGTGAGCATGAATGAATTAAGTAACAGTGGGACCACATGCTGAGAAAATCCTCCTGTTATCAGGACAAATTATTATGATTATTATTATTATTATTCTTTATTCATTTTAGTATGTTTGCTTATGGGACGATTCTCTCATTTTCTCAATATGTATCTAGGGAGAACATGGTGACGATGGGGAGTTTGGTCTTCCTGGTAAAGCTGGCTCACATGGAAAAACTGGCGTGCCAGGCCTCCCGGGAGAACAGGGTGCCATTGGACCAAAGGTATAGTGGAATTATAGAATGTTATATAGTGTGCTCAGTTTAACTATGCAACAACAAAAAGTAAAACAATTGTAATAACATGCTTGTGAGTGATTAAAATATAATGTGCTGTCATGCAAGAGATATATTTGTATGACTGCTTTAAGTATTGGATAAATGCAGAAATAATTACTTGCTTTATATGAGTGATCCTCGCTCAGTCATTTGATCATTTATTCATCCATCCATTCAGGGTGAGCAGGGACTTCATGGCCAGAGTGGTACTCCAGGGAAAAAAGGCTTTAGTGGTAGAATGGGGCTACCAGGGCCACAGGGAGACCAAGGACCTAAAGGACAACCTGTGAGCAACCACACATACTTAAACATGTGTAATATAGGGAATAGCTCACCAGTATAACCTTGAAAGATGTGATTTCATTATTCTTTTTTTAATATGCTGTGTTTAAATTTTTACTCAGGGTGATACAGGGGAACCAGGTTTTCCAGGGATTCTGGGAGTTTTTGGACCACAGGTATGCTCAACACCAAACAGCAGCACATCTTCCACAAGCTTTGTGCACAAAATATAACATATATGTAACTGTTGAAATACAATGCTCACGTGATTTTTTTAACCACCAAAGGACTATTAAATACAAAGCCTATGTTCACCATTAAAAACAGATATCAGTTCACTCACTGTGGCCACGCAGATCTGTTTAAATATAAAGTAGGTCATTCACTGTAAAACATGCATATAAATACACTGTGATAAGAGGACTGAATGCAAGCACAAGTAACAGTTGCACATATGCTACAGTATGTAGACAGGTACAAAACAACACAAATTATTTATCTTTCGAATTCAGGGGAAAACTAAACATCAAATGGCTTCGTTAGAATAAGCCCCTTTTCTGGAAAAACAATTGTTTCATTTCTAAACAGCTGCTTTGTGACATCCTGCTTAGTAATTGAACCAATGACACCGTTCCAGAAAGTGTACAGTCTCTAACTGGGGAATTTCTACAAATATAGCTTGTTTTAGGATTCAGGTGTAGTCTGGATGTTGTAACATCTGTCCATGGCTAACCTGAACTTGTCAGAGTTACAGTAATTACATGTTTACTTTGACATGTGTGTGTATTTTATGTAAAAAGTCGGTTTGACCATTACATAATTATATAATCCCATTTTACATACATCAAAGAAACTAACATTACCAAGTCTGTGACTATGCAGCAAGGAAACACTGACAACATGACAGCTTTAGGACATTGTCATCAACTCTTTCCAAATTCCAGGCTGTTCTGTCCCATCACCAAATCCAATTTACAAATAGCACATTTTAAAGCGAGCCAACAAAATTACTCTTCACTTCCTGCCAATGATCTGGTCTTTATAGTCCCCTCTGGAACAGTTCTACAAGCAGCAGTTTTAAGAATAGTTTTTAAAACTAACACAATTGCTTTTTGACACAAGCATGCATTATGTATCAGTGTCTTGAATGTGTGGTGATAATGCAATCACTACACAGAGCCCAAATCCAAAATCTGTTAGGACAACTGGAAACAATGTCTACAACATGGAAACCTTTAATAGCATCTCATGTTCCATGAGGAGCTGTATATACATTAGAGATAGGAGTGTGTAAAGACATTCTGCAAAACTAACTTGAAGTATTACTGCTTTAAACAAGCACTTGTGTATGTGTGTGTATATAAATATTTATCACAACTGTTTTCAGGGGCCTCCAGGAGACTTTGGGCCAAAGGGCATACAGGGACCAAAGGGGCCGCAGGGTATAATGGTGAGTAGAATAGCGATCTAAAGTACACTAGTGAATGCTCTGATATTCCTATTTCATAGTTTTTCTTCTGGTTTTCCCCATCAGGGCAGAAGTGGAATTGTTGGCCCTGTGGGAATTATTGGTCCCAATGGAAGTGCAGTATGTATTATACAGTTAAAAAAAAAAAACCTTTAACATTTTTCTCTGCAGTTGTTCTTCAGTTTACTAACTGAGTATATCTGTTTACAGGGTCCTAGAGGAGAGAAAGGCAATCGTGGCGAGACTGTGAGTCTTCTTGACCTCTTACCACATCTGTGCTTTTCACTTTTTATACTTTGTCTACTGTGTGTAAAGCAAATTTGATGACTATATCCAGGCTGAAAACATGTCTTTTCTCCCTCTGAACAGGGATTTCAAGGACCAAAGGTATGGTTGTATTACATTGTTTTCTTCTATTATAAGTCATTTGTATTTTACTGTGGAAACTTGATTGACAATACATAAACTCATCCAGCATGTATGATTTTCTTCTTTATTAGGGATCTCCTGGACGTCGTGGTCCTCCTGGACATCCAGTAGGTTTTCCACTTTTATAGGTTAAGCAAATATCAAACATACATAATGTCATATTTGAGTTGCATAATTCATTGTCTGAATCCTTTTTGTGCCCTTTAGGGTCCCCCAGGTGTCCTTCCATCAGTTGTAAGACATGTTATGTTTTCTGCTTTCATTACATTCAGTAACACTTAAAGTAGTCAAAATATATTAGTGTTTTCTCAAGATAGAAGCAATTGCACTGATGAAATAAGACTTTATACAAGTTTGTTATTTTGCTGTAGAAAGAAGATAATCTTGTGCTTCTGCATTTACACACCTCACTCAGGACTGAGGTTAGTGTGTATGATGTCAATATATTTCTGCATTTTGTCATTAAATCAGTTTTATAGATTTATTTTTTTGTCTGTCCTCCAGAATAAGCCAATGATGGACCTGCCAATGCTGGACCAGGGTGCAGAGATTTTTAAGACCCTCCACTACCTCAGTAACCTGATCCAGAGTCTGAAGAACCCACTGGGCACTCCGGACAACCCTGCTCGCATCTGCAGGGACCTCCACAGTTGTGAACAGAAGCTAAATGATGGCGAGTGTTTGTCTGTTTTGTTAGAGACAGTCATTTTATGTTTAGGTGGACTAATGAATTCAAATGTCTTCACATTTTTCAGGCACTTATTGGATTGACCCCAACCTGGGCTGCTCGTCAGATACAATAGAAGTCTCCTGTAACTTTACTGGAGGTGGACAGACTTGCCTGAAACCAATAACACCATCCAAAGTATTAAAGATACAAAGTCATACAGTTTAGAGAAAGATAATTGTTACACACATGAGCACATAATAACCTTGTTAATCTGTGCTTTTTTTGCCTGTTTAAACAGCCAACAATCAGTGCCGGTCAAGTCCAGATGAACTTCCTGCACCTGCTGAGCTCTGAGGCTGTACAGCACATCACCATCCACTGCCTGAACATCTCGGTTTGGAGGTTGGCTGAGGATCAGCCGGCTGCTCAGGGATCTGTACGATTTAAGGCCTGGAGCGGGGAGGTGTTTGAGGTGGGAGGAGAGCTTGAGCCAGAAGTCATAGAAGACTCCTGCTGGGTAAAAATATGTTGTCATTCTTGGCTTTCAGACCATAAAACTGGTTCCCCTAAATGTGATAGCATTGTTTTAAGACTAAAGCATGTCATGTGTTTGTGGTTTTAGATAAAAGATGGCCGCTGGCACCAGACTCATTTCATGTTCCACTCCCTGGACCCCACCCTGCTCCCTGTGGTTGACATCTACAACCTGCCCAACACCACTCCCGGTTCAAATTACCACCTAGAAGTAGGTTCCGTGTGCTTCCTGTGAGGGCAGCAGTGTAAATATCCTGAGCAGAGAGGGATGGCTCATCATCCCTGGAAGACACCTTCATGTAGTTGTGCAGATTGGAGCAGTCTCCTCCAATTTGTGGCTAGACATTGGCCAATAGAGAACAAGCTCACCCACCCACGAACAAATTCAGCTTCACTCTGCCAAACTCCCTCTGGACTGTAGACACACGGTGAGGAAGCACAGGGAGCTTGGGGGGGACAAAGAAATGCTGAAGAGGAGCAGAGAAGTTCTTGCACTAATAGCTTCTCAATATGGCAAAAGCGTCTTCAAGCTCTGCAAGAAGGATCTTCACATATTCACCAGCTTGGAGAAGAAAAGGCTCAATGCCACACAGTCTCTCTGGAACACTGCTGAGTGAAGGGAGACCAAGGCCAAGTCATTCAAAGGACATTATAATAACTTATTTTTGTAACTCTATACAGTCTGTATACTGTGTACTGTGTGTACTTTTTTTTTGGAAATACCAGGAATTAAATTCTGTCAGAAGATAGGAATTAAAGTAATTGGGATCATTATATATAACACATACATGTATATCTTATGTAAAGAAATAATTTTCAAGTGCAATAGAAAATAAGAAGATAATTTGATGTTTTAAAAGTATATAAACAATTTTTCAGGGGTACCATTTTATTTGCCTTTGGTGCTCATCTCTGTGTGATCTTGCCATGTGAAATTTTCCAGAAGCAGGCTTAAATTGAGCAGAAATCACATCTTTATTTCCTAGTGCATCAAAGTTTCTTCCTAACGTGGGAAAACCAGCAGCACCTATTCAGCTCTCAGTAAATTAGGTCTGAAGCCACAGACTAATGCGCTCAAATGTGGAGAGAGTCGGTGCATTAAACATTTATTATTCATACATCATTGAACTGGATGCCACTGATGATTAGGGAGAATTCCATGTGGTTACAGGGATCAGTGGTCAGAGTAAGCATATGGAGATCTCATTCTCAGTAGTGTTTTTATCTCTGCAATGGTGGAGTGTGAAATCAGACTTATTATTTCTTTCTTTACTTAAATACTTATCATAAAAGACAGGAGGGTAGATGTTATTATTATCACATGGGACCAGGAGTCTCTTCTTCTACCCAACTCACAGCAGATAGACTACAGGTACAGGCAGTCCTTAGAGGAGAACTGAGCCACAGGAGAGAGGAGAGCAGATCCAGGAAGCAAAATAAAACCCCCATCTTTGATATCATCCTCTCTCTGATGCATGGTGCTAAGTAAATTATCTAAGGTGCTAACCATATTGCTGTAATTACACCACTTTGCTAACATATTCTGGTGTTTATAGTGCATGCTTGCTTAGATTAATAAAAAAAAAATCCTTATAACATAATGACATAGCTTCCATAATGCACTATAATGGTAATATTCCATCTGAAACTACATAGTTCCCTAATAGTTCACCATCTGTTGTTTATTATAAACCTTTTTCAGTGCTACAATTTATGATGAGGCTTATTCTGAGCTAGAATATTATAGACATACCTTAAAAATCTAAGACAGATTTCTCCTGTTGTACCCAATATAAATCACATAGTTTGAAGTATTTCTGAAGAATAAAGCCCCCCATAGGTGTATGTAATAATTTTAGAAACACAGCTAGTGAAGATAGTTTTAATTAAAGTTTCTTTGTTGTAGTTGGACACAAGTGTGTATAATTGTGCAAATCTTGCTGTATACAGTGGATCCCCTCTTGCTAATTTAATGTTATTTAATGTTAAGGTGGTAGCTGACTGAGCAATACTAGCAAAACTACTCTTTCTGATGTCTTTTTATATTAGTTTGCCCAACTGGTCTTGGAGTTAATAGATTTTTTTGTGTGTAAATTTGTGGCTCCAGAGAACAAATTTATTGCAATGTTAATTATTTTTATTATGATTTTTTATTTTGTTATTTTGATTTATGTTGTTTTTCCTCTGATAATCAATCATGTACTGTAGCAGGATTCTGTACTATACTATAACGTTTGTTTTAAAGAATTATGCAAATATGTGAAAATAGTTTCTTCTTTTTGTAAATCTGTTGTAGACATTAAAACCAGCTAAGAATACCTCACATTTGTACTCATGACTTCTTTGGAAATATCAGCCAAATACAGTGAGTTTTCAAACTCTGAACAAGACCATTTCTGGTATCTTTTATCTGTCTACTCTTTATTCATTGTTCAGTGTCCATTTGGTCAATAAATACTTTGAATTTGTGCGTGGATTATTATTTTTTTATGATATTTGAAAAGTTGGAATACCAAACAAATTCAATAAAATAACGGATGCATAAAATAATCCCGTAAGGGGGTTTTAATTATTTAGGTATCCTGCAAAGTAAAATGTACATGGAAAATTTTACTAAAGCAAATGTAAAATTATTAGATTTGAGGTACCTCTTAATTTGATATTTACAGGTACAATTAATAGTTGCATATCTTTAAAATACTGTAACTTTACATTATTGCTCACTGAAGATCCAACAGAAAGTTCATATCCCATTACACTTCATGAACAATGAGGAAAGAGATACATAAAGATGAGGAGTGCCTTGTACAAGTTGAAAATATGTAGCCATATAAACCTCCGTAGGTGCTCTAGGGAAAAAAATTTGACTCTACTGACCCCACACCTACTGCCTTCTCTGCAATGTGTATTTACCATCACCTCCAGGTTTTTTTTTATCACCATTAGCTCAATAAACAAATTCATTAGGAACATGCCCAATGTGAGAACAAAAAGGGCCTCTCCGGGGCAGGGCTGCAAAATGACCTCATAATTTAGAAATCACTTTAGTTTTACTATATAAGACATTTATTTGAGCCAATTGCAACAGAAAAGGGAGTGGTGGGTGTTTCACAGTAAGTTAATTGATGTACTGTAGGCCTATGTGTGTATATGGTAGAAACGGAAATGCTGCAAATGAGGGAGCGCCAGCATTAAACATACACTTTACAACACTTTACAGTAAATACTTACCCTCTTGAAATTAAACAGTTTTACCACATGATGTCACTAGTTGTCTGAATGAGCTGGGCCAGATGTTTACAACATCGAAGTAATAGATGTTTCAGCCCTTTCCTGAACTTTACAAAATGGGTGATAAAATATAGACTTAGTCATTGCCTTAGACTGATTTATATCAAATGCTATACTATAATTAACCTGCTCACCATACACATACTGATTATGTTGAAGCACACACACACCGTGGTAATTTTATATGCCACTAAGATACCGGTTCTTGGGCCCTATAAGTAAAAACGTCACCTTTACGGTAACATAACAGTGTCCTTATTTTTGAGCCGTCATAATCCTGCATGAAGTGTCTGGCTTTGACCACTTTTATGCTGCCTTTAATTCTACTCGAAAATAAACTTACATTTGAGCATAGCTGTGAACAAATACGGATATTTGACTTAAAATAATAAAAATAATGCATAAATAATATTACAGTAATAATACTGATAAATATGGTCATATTTTTCTTTCCAAGGTACCCACTGCGGGGTTTCATGTTTCCCACACACCCTAGAGGCAGCAACAGATTCCAACGTCCATAATAGTGACGTTTACAATCGTGATGGCGGTAGCTGCGACTAGTTTGAATTCCGTCCTAATTTTTGGAGTTTACTTTGCGTCTCATCTGTAAAATGTCATGTTATAGTGGTGAGAGCACATAATAAGTGACCCGTAATTATGGATTCTGTTGTGGGTGACGACCTGACGCTACCCGTTGACATCAATGGAAGGTAAAACTACCAACGATAGCTAGTGAGCTAGCGCTAGTGTGCAAGTGCTGTACTTTAGCTTGCTAGCTAGCGCTAGTCCTAAAGCAGTAACTAATTAAGGCTTCTTGAGCTTCTTGTTATTGTCTTTTGTATTTCTTTTGGTAGTAACGTTTGGTCATCTGGCGTTTGGAGGATCATACATTTACATGTAGTTAGTTAACTTTATGTTGCTAACGCTTTCTGTTGTGTTTATCGGATTATTTGGGGGAAAACCAGACTAACGCCTTAACCTAGCTAGCAATAACTTAAGCTAAAGTGTCAATTGTCATTGTCAGCTGCTAAACATACACAGCAACCTTCCACTTGAGTATGTTATGTGTCTACGTTGGCTAGCTAAACATTTACTTTTACATAAGTACAACATTTTGCAACATTCCTACAATCATATATTTTCTTTCCTGCTGCAAGTTTCGTATAATCTCAAAATAGAAACAAATATTTTAAAAAGACTTGGGAAGCAACATCAGGATGTACCAGCCTTCACTAACACGCAAAAAAGTGTAGCAGAAATATTTGTGGTCAAAACCTGGCGCACATAGTTTGCGCTCGCAGTTACCGTTATAAATCATATTCAGCTCATTGGATGTTGTGATGTTACCGCGATTAGTGGTTTGGCTTGTTGACCTGTCATTCAGCAAGTAAAGGAAGCGGAAATACTCTGAGTCATTGCTCTTCAGCTTAGTTCAGGCTGCAGCAGCGACGTCTCCCTAAACTCTAGGGTTAACATGTATATGTATTTATTTTTTTTCCTGCTTCCAAGAAATGGGAAAAGAGCGTGATTCTGGTAGGTGAACCATGATTAGCTCTGCTCTACAGTGCTTTTGCTGGATAGTGTTTTCTGAATATAGCTGGTTTATAGTTCTTTATGTACCACTGAAAATTTAGTTATAGCATCTCTGTGTTAAAGTTTGTAGTGTTTAGTCTCCTTTTAAATGACTTAGCCCAGCTGTTCTGTGTAAATGCTGTCATCCAGGTGGTAAGCGTGCCTCAGTAATCCAAGATGTTATCTGATATGTGTGGTGTAAATTACTTGTTCGGTAATTCTGAAACCTAATTCACTTCACTTTTTCAGTTTTAAAATACTATGGCGCTACACACTGTTGGTTGTTTCAGTTATTTATGTTTTTCTGTAAGTGATATTTGTGTAAGGTGCTTTCATGTTTGTCACTAACAGCTGAGCAAAGTGAGAAAAAAGAGGAAGTCATTGTTTACAGGCTCATACATTGTTTCCACTTTGTGCTGCAGGGGGTTGTTACAACTGCAGCACTGACAAATCTCTGTTTCCAATGCAACATGCTTCATGTTGCTCATCTCTGTACTGTGCTGGGTGCTCTGTTTACAAAGAACATAAAACCTGTAGACATGCCATGAACAAATGATGATGGAATTGCTGAGCTTTGCTGAGAAATGGACCAGAGAAGCAGCAGAGCTGCTGTGCTTCCACTGCATGCGAGGAAGTTATACTGGACATTATATTGATAGACACAGAGGTCAAAACCAGGCAACATGAGCTTGAACCATTTTTTTGGTTTATGCAGTTAACCCTCTGAAATCACATTGGTCAGGAGAAATTTACACTAATGCTTAATAAATGGTATTATAATATGTTCAGGTGATACATGTGTGTTGTGGTAGTGCAGCCCCGATTCCTTTAATGTCTTTGTGATTCAGATGTGTGTTGCTGATGTTTGGTGCATTGTATTGTGTTTGTGAGTGACGCCACTGTCCCATCACTGCGTGAAGCTAAACTGGTCAGAGTCACAGTAGTCTACTTGTCCACCAGTGAAAGCCTCCTTCGTCCACTGGTTCGCCTGTTTTCCTCTGCTCCTGTCTGTGTGAACATGAGAGCTGGACTGCCCTGGCACATGGTCTCACAGACACACACAGAGTAAAAGGAGGCTCTGCCAGAGTGCATGTAAATGAAGCAGCAAGTCATTCCTGAGCTATTTTTGGAGCATCGTTAGGGATCAGTTGAACTGGCCAGCGTGAGTAATGCATAAATTTGTGTGGTGAGTTTTGTTTTGTTTTGTTTGTTTGTTTGTTTTGAAAACCATAATAATCAGTATCTGTATACAGTGAGCTGGGACAGAGAGCAAAGCTTACTTTGTTTCCTGTGATTTTTATAAATAGGAATTGTCTTTTGTTGAATGTGGTCGAAATGTAACAGCCACCAATATATCAACTATTCATAGTGACAAGGCTGCATTGCTAACAAAATGATTTTGTCCCCAGCTGCAGACTGCCAGACTCCATAGATGCTGGGGAATATTCCACAGACAGCATGACAGGTACAGTAAGATTTTCTTTTGTTCTCTTTCTGTTTTTTTTTTTACTTGCTCAGGTGTAAGTCTCCCCTGTGTATTAATTTATGCTGTTCTTGAATTGGTGCTGTGATCTCCCACAGTTGTCGACAAGCTGTGACAAGGGATTGGCTGGATAATCTTAATTAACTATTCCTATTTCTAATTCACTGTCATGCTCTTGTTGTGTGCCAACAATATACTCAGCGTTAGGCAGTAAACAACTAATTTATAGATATAGGTCAGCTTCTTGTATAGTTATTCCCAACATACTGTGTTTCAGAATACCTCACTGAAGCCAGTGATTGAATTCTGAAGGATGATTGTAATTGCAGAATCTGGGAAAACAAGGCAAAAGCTGAAAATAACCAGTTATCCTTTAATGATACAGTAGAAAATCTTAAGGCTTCATTTTCTTCCATGGTAGCAGACATCCTTATGTCCACTGCTGCTGTCTTGCTGCCTGAGATTTGAGCTTCTGTTTGCTCTTGCTTCTCCTCAGTTGTCCTCAGTGCTTTTGTCAAATACTAGGTTCATGAAGTACGTAAACTGGGTAGTGGTGTTGAATTACATTTTTAAAGACGTATATTTGTTTTTACATTGAAGATATTAGCATACACTGAAGGCAATGAGGATAAACCTAACATCTCTAATTTAGATAATAAAATGAACATAAATAAGCAAGACGAAGCTCTTCCTGTCAAACTGTGAATCAGGAGTTAGTGTTGTGAAATGTCTTGTTGATGTGTGTTACATGACCAGCTGTGGGCTAAACAGGGCAGTTCTCCAGAAACTTTGACAGCTCTGAGGACTGCAGTGAAAAACACGACTGCTTTGTCTTTCTTTCTCTAAAATAAACAAAGTGTGATTTTGAATACAGATTATAAACTTTTCTTGTATGTGGGGAAGATTCTGTGCTAAAGTGATTATGTTGTAGTTGTGTCTCAAATTAATAAAAATATATTAATTTATTGTTTTACAGCTTCATCCTTCCCTGACAAGATGTCCCCTATTAAAGCTCTCACCATGAAGGACTATGAGAATGTGAGTGACATTTGTAATTATTTCTCAGTGTTATTTGTTTATTAATGTTATTAACTATTACTACATTTAAAACCAAGCTTGACCGTATGAAGTATGAACTCTACCTCACCTCAACTAGCAGGGTTTTATGATTGGTTAAACCTGATCCTCAGTCTGATTAAAACTAAGCCCCACTGACCATTTATGGAGATGATGGTGATCAAGTATGTGTAGGAGAAGGGTTGAGGTGGGCTCAAACCTATATTTCAGCATTTGAATGGAATGCATCATCAGATTTTTGGCTTGTGCTCTTTGGCTGGCTGCATGATTACAGAGGTTTACAGAGAGCTTCAGACTTGTACCTCCTCCCTTTGACAGTCTGCCAAACCCCCATGACTATGTGTATGCTGTTCTGAGCCTGAAGCACAATGATGCACAGTCTACTTCACACACATGCAAACATTAAGGCTTGCTTTTAGTTTAACAATAATCATACACACATACACACTTTTCTGCCATGTAAACATGTCATCCAACATTTCTTCACAAATAAAGTGCATAAATAATTTGTCCTAACCTTGTTTTCTTATCATTTGATTTAATTAAAGCAAATTAATAAACTTAATTTGGGGCTTGACAGAGATCAGTATAGATTAACACAGGTTTTTCAATACAAATGTTATTTGTTGTTCTGTTTTTTTTTCCTGTATATTAAAATGTCTGTGCTACCTTCATTTGCAGCAAATCACAGCTCTAAAGAAAGAGAACTTTAACCTCAAGTTGCGCATTTACTTCATGGAAGAACGCATGCAACAGAAATGTGATGACTCTACTGAGGACATATTCAAAATGGTGTTGTATTTACTTTAATATGCAAAATGTGCATTAGGCCTGTGTGTCTGTCATGCATTTATTTTGCCCCTCCATACCTCATGTTGCATGTGACTCGGTGCCTTTTCATTGTTGTTGCTTTTCTGGAGTGAGATGTAAGCACATTGGAATCTCCTAGTCTCATTGGGGCTGCTTGTGTTTCTTATCTTCTCCTTTTCCCCCTACTACATATGAGAAGTAAATTGTCTTGAAAGAAAGTTATATTTATGTACATGCTCCAACATAAACCTTGAGACTTGTTAATTTGGTTTTATTAGCATGTGAATCTTGGGTAACTTGTTCTCTGAGAATCTCTACTTTGTGCCTTTGTTTTTGTAATAACTTCAGATCCCAGCTTGTGCTGAAATTGACTGAATGTTTTTTCCCCTAGAACATTGAGCTGAAGGTGGAGTTGGAGTCTATGAAGAGGGAACTGGCAGAGAAACAGGAGCTACTAGTGTCTGCGTCGTAAGTACACAGTCCTGCTGTGTCAAAATTCAGCATCTGCTAAGTTCTCATATTTGGTTTCATTACAAGAATTGAGGAAAAACAAAACAAGATCTTAGCTGGCATGAAGATGTTACATTTGCCCATGTGTGATGAAAATGTATAAGAGTGCCAAACTAATCTCCCCTATAAATTATTTCCAGGAAAGCATTAGAGAGTCTGGCTGGTCGAGGATCAGGAGACTCTCATCGTGTGAGAGAGCAAGCTCAGAGAGAAATGGATGAAATTCGAGATGCATTCAACAGAAGGATAGTTGACCTAGAACAGGTGAAGTTCAGCCTAAAAATTCACTTACCCAAAACTTGTTAATTGCAACAATTAATATCATTTTTTATTATATTCCCTAAGACCTGTAATTTTCTGTTTCACCCCTAATATGTTGTCCAAAATTTGTCCAAGTTGTTCTCATACAGGGCCTGGTTATCTGGAGCACAGTAGAATGTTATTTAGGGTTGGTCAGTCTTAATCAGCATTGGTGTTCATTTCTCATTTGGTGTTTTTGCTGAATGTTAGTGTCTGCGAATAGCTGAGGAAGAGGTTGAGAAGATGGCAGCCATTGCTGAGCAGGAGAAGCGTAAGAATATTAACATGGAAAAGCAGCTCCAAGCCCTGGGCCCATCGAGCACCTTTAACTCTGTACCTGTCGCCAGCCCAGTCCATGACCTTCAGCAGGCCCTGCAGGAGAAAGACGAGTATGGAGATAACGCAGACACATTAATATATATTTTTTATATGAAGACTTAAGTGTCCAGTGTTTTATTAATTTATTTTGCTCACACCAGTATCATTGAGCAGCTCAAGATCACTTTAAAGAACCAGGAATCTGTGACCCATCAGTGTAACAATACTGACCAAAGGACAGATTCTCCACCAGCTGACCATGTTAAGCAACTGTCAGATCTCATCACCAAGAAAGATCAGGAACTTGAGGTATGGAATTAGGAGATTTCTTGTTGTACACAGGTATCAAAACTTGTCAGATGACTGTGTGAAAACCCGTATTGCCATGTTTTAAGTACATATTTACAGAGAAATTACATTTATTGCCACTTTATTTCTACAACTTACACTAATTGTAATACTTTAATTTTCTGTTTCCCAGGCATTGAGGGATGAGCTACATAGAGAGAAGGGCAAAACACAACCAGGCCAACAGGTTGGTGTTGTGGAGATTTCCTTACTAAATATCTGGGTGTTGTTTCGTTAAATAAATAAATAAATAAAACTACTGCACAATGACACTGACCTCTGTCAGGCTGCTTAGACTATGTGTTTGTTTTTTTCTAGCGGAAGATTTATGTCACTATTGTTATGGTGTTCTTTCCTATTCTGTCATGCATCAAACCAAAGGCAAAATTATTTAACTGTGCATTAATTTGCCGGTTCATTTGTCACTCACAGACCACCTAATTGTCATATGTTCTTTGCTATGCACACAAAGCAGGCACTATTGATACATTGTCAGTGTTAATCTGTTGACCCTGTGTTTTGCTTTTTATTTAGTTTTCTAACATTAAATGTGAACCCTGTTGATTAGACTAAGAATTTTTGTTTTTGAAGGATATCTAAAATATTGTATAGTTTCACTTCAGAAACTTAGATGTCCGTCATAAAGCCTTTTGGTTTTAAAGTGGTACTGAAGGCATTATCCGGACTATTGGAGAAGGTACTGTATTGTTAACATTCAGAGTAGAAAAGAGCTGGGCAGTTTCCATGGTTCCTCATCAGGCCTTGGCATCTGATTTAAGGTCAGAGAGTTAAGACTGGATTACTGTGCTTTCTGGAGACAGTTCCCCTGATAGTTATTTATGGCCATCCTTCTTTACTAAAGGAAACATACTTTTGTAATCTGTCAGTGTTTGTTAGATCTGGATAACTGCAAGAATGCACTGCATGTTTTGCTAAGATTTTGAAAGAATGGGGGGAAATGCATTGACAGTTATGATTGAGATACATAACTGGACTTCCAGTGGCCTCTCCACAACAGAGGTGTGTGACAGCAATGATTACCAGAAAACACCACCTCTAATCTTAACGCTGATTTGAAGATGTGATGCCAGGCAGAATTCATGCTGTAGGAGTAGCTGTAGCTTGCTTTTTCAGCAGTCTCATGGAGACATTGCACCAGCCATAACACAGATCACCGCAGCAGTCCTAGAGCATTTTATCTGATTGAATCCGTTGGGGACAGTGGAATAGAGGCGGGGATTATTAAGCAGGCTTAAGGCTTATAGTGCTCTGCACTCAGTCCTTCTGCTCTCTGCTTCTCTTGCTGATGCAGTGAGAGAAAATGATAGATGACTCTTCCATGGCTGGCAAGCTGATGGCCTTTACATCACCGGACATTTTGTGCGATAGTGAGAGACTCGTTTTAAGTGGGTGAGTTGAGTCTGGAACATCTAAGGTGCCATGAGGGACCCATGTCGTATATGTGGTATTCGTCTAGTAGGAAGCCAGTGTCGTTGGATCTTCAGCTCATCAGCAAAGAGGAAGCTACAAGTCATCCTGTCCCATGTGTTGGGCCGGGAGGTGACTCGTGACGGTCGTGGAGAGTTTCTCTGTGGGAAATGTGTGTTCCAGTTGGAGAAGGTGGTACAGTGTGATGTAAACATTAGTCAGTTGCAGGATGAATGCAATAGTCGCATCCAGAAGATACAGGCAGAGAAAGAAAACCTGATCCAGTGCATCATACACATTTACAACAAAAACAACCCAAGTCTGGACACAGTTGCCGCAGCGAGCACCAGGTGCAAGACTCCACTCAGGTCTTCTGGGGTGGGCAGTCCTGATAATAAGCCTGTATACCAGCTGGTCTCTGAGAGACAACATTTCAGAGAGAGTGGAAGTAGTCGCATGGAGACTCCTATGAGAAGGTGTGTGAGTCTTGATAGAATTGTTAGTAGAGGAGCTGTCCCAGGGCACTCAGGCCTCAGGAGACCTGGATCAGCAGTAGGGCTGGATGGCCCTACTATGAAGAGCTTTGGTTTCCGAGGCATGCACTACTGTTTGCAAAGTGGGTACCTTGACTCGGTCCAACATAAGGGCACACTGCCTAGACCTGGATTCAAAGGTCACTCCACATCAATGCAGTCCCTGAATCGAGACTTTTCCTTGGACACCCCTCCAGACCCTCCACCCAAACTAAAACGCAGAGAAGCCAGGTTTCTGGTTGCCCGACTTGGTGCTACTGATGATCCACGAGGAAAGGATCAGTCCAGAGCACTGCACTGCAGCTCCTCAAATCAGCCTTCTGTAATATCTGACCTGATTCAGATCCTGCGCTGCATCTCCAAGCCGCAATTCTCTGCCCCTCTGGGGAGCCACATCCCTGTCCTGAAAAAGTTAGGCACGTGCCACCTCAATCCCCGACCTAAGCTCAGACACAAAGAGGCCAACTGGAAGTCTCTGCATGATCTTGCAGAGGAATTTGATGATGAATACACCGCTCCTAGAGTGGAGGTAGTAATTTTCAGTAATCTCTTGCTGGGCAAAATGCTGCAGCACTGGTAAGGAGCTTTACTTAATATTGCCACTATTAATATGTTTTTCTTTTCCTGTCTTGTGTGTTCTCTGGATTTGCTGAGAAGAAAAATGAGATTAATCAGTTGGAGTCCTGCAATAAGCTGCTCACTGAAGAAGTCACACAGACAAAAAGCATCAATGACAACCTGGCAAAAACACTGGCGGATACCCAGAATCAGAACAAGGTACCTGCTGAAGATATTTAGCTTTATTAAATATCTTTAATTAGATTAAGAGCATTTTTTGTATAACATTTCTTTGTTATCTAAACAGACCCTGTCAGAGAAGTTAGAAGGGAAGGAAAATGAACTCAGTATAGAGAGGAAAAATGCTCTGAAGAGAGACAAAACAATCCAGGGTCTGACTCAGGTCCTCAGAGAAAAGGAAAAAGAGGTAAGTTTAATACTATTGTGAACAGGTTTTATTTGTGATATTTCCAGGATCATAACAGTTGCTGTTAACTGTGACAAGTTGTTGTCACTACTCCAAGATAAACCTGTTTATTTTTCTTTTTATTGGACAGATTGCAGAGCTGTGTCATGAGATTGAGGACAGGGATAATGCTTTGGCCAAGGCTAGAGAGGCAGCACATAAAGCCCAACTACAGAAATACCAGGCAAGTTCTGCACCTTTTTTAGAAAGCCAAAACGTGACTGTGTGTGTTAATGTTAATTCTAATTCTTTGCTCTGTGTGGAAGCTTTTAGGTTCAAAGATTATATTGCTAAGAAGTTAGAAACTCATATAATGTAAAAGAAATTTTAAAGACAAGGGGGTATATTTATCTTCATTACAATTACAAATACAAAGTGCAGTCTCTATAAAGAAATAAACACTTCTTGCATATCTCGCTCAGGGAGTAGAGGAGCACCAAAACCTGTTAATGGCAAAGCAAACAGAGCTGGCTCAACTCCAGGGAGAACACCATGCCAAACTGCTTGAAGCTCAAAAACTACAGCGTGCTGTGGGCAGGAAGGAGCAGGACCTGGCTGACTTGCAGCAGGCAAAGGACCAGCTAGAGTTGGAACTGGAGGACATGCAACAGCAGAAGAAGAAAGGGGACAAGGCCCTTAGTGTAAGACAGCTGGAGAACAGTGGTCATCTAGTGAATATTTCCAATAAAAGTCACCAGGAAATCTGAATTCTCATTTCTATTATCTGTCATCAATTACATACTAGCTTTTGTGTAACAGTATTATCTTTCCTCTTTTAGGATCTGAACAATCAGCTGAAGAAGCTGAATGATGAGATCGGGGAGAGAGAGAGTGCAGTGGAGCAGAAATACCAGGAGCTGTTGGATCAAACAAAAAGAAAACTGCAGGCACACGAGGTCATCATCCAGCGGCTCACATCTACCTTGGCAGATAAAGAGCAGCAGCTACAGGTAACACACAAACCACAGATTCCAGACCTAAAGGAAAAATCTTGTGTGTATTCTTTTTATTCCAAAAATCTGCCATTGGACATAGTTAGATTTTTTTCCCCCCCCCTTGTATTCATCAGGAGTACATGAACATGGCCAGAGACTTTGAGCAAAGCAAAAGCCCAGGAGGAAATGATAACATGCTGTCTAAGCTGCGACAAAGGCTGAAAGAAAAGGAGAAGGCACTGGAGGTATGCATTACTTCTGTGTAATCTTCTCACCACAATGAGTGGAATTTGATTCTGACGTTCTTCTCCTTGCTTTCTCACAGCAAGCGCTGGATGAGAAGTTTGCTGCCATTGAGGAGAAAGACAATGAGATACACCAGCTGCAGCTGTCTCTAAGAGAGAAGGAAAGGGACCTGGATAGGCTCAATAACTTGCTCTCCCACAACGAAGGGACCATCAATGTAAATAGCTGTCACTGTATTTGTTGCGGGGGGGGGGTTGATATTAGACCAAAAATTTGCCCATTTGGCTTTGTAAACAGTAATGAAATTGCTTTTGAGATGTTGAACTTCAATTTCATGCATCTCTCTGCCTATTTCTTTCTCTCCAGAGTTTTGACAGTCTAATCAAGGAAAAGGATGTGGAGCTGCAGCATCTTGCAAATACTTTAAAAAACCTGCAGAGAGCCAAGCAAGATGTAGAAGATAACCTGAACAGATCGCTAAGGGAGAAGGACTCCATCATCAGCCAGCTACAGCTCTCCCTGGAGGGCAAGACAAAGGACATGGAGGTTAGCTGATGCTTCCACACACCCACTGCTGTATGTTCAGTGATGTTCATGTAGGTTTTCACCATTCCAACCTGTGACATTTACATATATAGACACTTGCTTTATAGATTGAGGTTGTTTTTGATCTTTCTAACACTGTCAGCCTTTCTCTGTAGGAAATGGCAGAATCGATGCTTAGCCAGTCACAGACTCATGCACGTGACCTTGCTGAACAGATGGGCCACAGGTTAAAGGTCACAGAGGCTATGTTGGCTGAAGCTGTGAAAGCCAGGGAAAAGCTGGTTGCTGACAATGAGAGTGCTGTGGAAGGACTATTGGCTACAATTAGCAGCAAGGACCAACTTCTCAAGGTCAGCATTTAATTATGAACACGCTAATAGAGTTTATACAGACAGAAATATTGTACATTGCTAGATATAAATGTACTCACTCAGCCTCTTGTTACTTTCTCCAGGAGGCTGCAGAGCACTACAACCGCATGCTGTCTGAGCGTACTCAAGGGATCCAGGAACTAAAGAAACAGCTGTCTGATAGGCAGCAGCAGCTCACCACTGCTGAGAAGCAGTGCTCCACAACAACCCAAGAGGGTTATTTAGAAACTGCAGAGCTCAGGGCTATGCTTGCTGAAAAAGACAGCCTCATCAATGTAGGTTCCACTGGGATATAACACAGTCACTCAGCTGTAAAATGTGTTTGAATTAAAAGCCTGACAAGGCAAGGATATTAAAACTCCCAAAGAGAACCTACCCATTCTCCACATACTACATATTCTGACTTCAAATTACTTTGTGCCTTATTTTGAAAAAAGTTGAATGTATCATTTGTATATGTTTGGGAGTGCTAACTTGTTACTTTTATAAATATGTAGAAGCTTCTACAGTGTGGTCAAGAAAGGGACCAGTTTCTGCCAGACATGAGGCAAAAGGAGGACTCTGATCATGTGTTGGAGCTCAGACAAACTATCCAGATCATGCAGGAGAAGTTGGATGAGAGAGATGGTGAGACCTTAAAACCTGCTAGTAGGATATTTTTGGGTTATGTTAGAGTTTAGGTCAGTCCTACATTAGATTTAATTTTGTCTGCACTGAAGCCAAGCTGTCCAGGAAGAACAGTGAGGAAAATGTTCCACTGTCCAAGAAGACAGTCGTCATATTGAAGAAGGAGCTAGCAGAGAAAACCGAGGAACTGAACAAAGCTCTGAAGAGGGAGAATGAACTGAAGGTGAGTTGGTTATAAGCATTTATGTCTGTAATCACACGGTTGCTTAATAGTGTGTTTTTGTGTAATCACATATTTTCTTGCTACAGATTTCATTGGCAGAGCTAAAGTCATTGCTATCTGAGCTGGAGGGTCGCAGTGAAGGTCAGGCTGCTAATATTGAGTCGCTGACTGCCACTCTGAAAACTAAAGATGAGATTATCAATGTAAGAATCCCCCATTCACAGACTTCTCACTCAGTGAAATGCTCCATAGCTCTGGATAAGGAGCTCCCTTTGCATTTAAACTGTGTGACCTCTCCTCCAACAGTTCTCATATTTTGTTTGCCTCTGATCAGGTTCTCCACCAGCGCCTTGGTCAGAAAGGGGACAGTCATGCTGACCATATGCAGGATCAGGTCATTGGCTCTGGAATGGAGAGGTCACTACCTGGGCTCCCACAAAGAGAAAGAACAATGATTGGTGGAGACAGTCAGCAAGAAGTAAACTTCAGCTATGTTTCTGATGAATGAAATACAAAAAAATACATATTTATTTTACATTTAATGCTTCAACATAAAGACAATTTCATTTTCTGTCTCTCTTAAGGCTTTGCCCAACCTTATAGCCTTGCAACAAGAGCGTAATGCGCTGAACAAAGCTCTGAGAGCTGAACAGCAACTTTACTCCAGCCTGGTTAGAACTGTAAAAGAGCCAGACAGGTAGGGACAACGGGTCACTGTATTATACTATAATTGTGAAAATGAAAAGATTGATTAGTTTCACTATATGCATGTGTGTGTTGCAGTGTCCAGTGTGTCCATGCTCTGCAGCTGCAGCTGGCGGCAGTGCAACTCCTCAGGCAGCAGCTAGAGAAGAACATCAAAACTAATGAGGAGCTACGAGATGAATTGGAGAGAGAGATGCACAGAGTCAAACTCAGAGAAGGTGCAGTGCAAACACACTGGGTGGTAGATGATGATGGGGAGTGAATTAAAGGGGGAAAAAATGGAGAAAGGGAAAGATCACGTGTTTATCATTATATTTAGTAGAAAAGGTAGGAAACCATAGCTCAGAAAGTTGCATATCCATAGCTTCTAGGAAGCTCACACATACATATACACCCATTCCATCTTTGTCCAGTGTGTTTATTCTAATATGTGCTGCTGACAAGCTCATGTCCCCTCTTAACCTGTCATGTCTGTCATTCTGCATGTCCAGCTGGTCCTTTCACTTATCTTTGTGCACTTTCTGTTTACTGTTGTCTACATCAACACCTACTCATCTGCATGTCTTGTCCACAATAGTGCCATTTGTTTCCTTTTACGCTTTTAAATGTAATGGTTTCTCACTTATGCACACTGTTTCTCGCTTTGTCTGTCCTTTATAAAAGAAGTGAATAAAGGCTGCCGCTGGCCTGTTGTCCTCTCTGCCTCTCACATTTTAACACTCCACTTGCTTTTTTTTTTAAGCTGTTCCATTAAAAGATTTGGTTGTCTGTTGATTGCATCACCTCTCTTTCACCCCTCTCCATCCTACCATCTGTCACATGAATTGCATTAAACTACATAAGTATGTTATTGTAACAAGAACAGTATTAAAGGTTGTTAATGCTGCTGTAGAATCATATCCTACTATAGAGTAGTTCCCCTGAAATAGATCAGGACAAAAAAGACATGACATCAAACTGTTAATGTACTTTAGCAGTTAGCGCCTTGGGCCAATTGTGACATCAGGACACTGCCTTGAGACTGATTACACGTGTCACTGCATGCTAAGGTAGTTGCCTAATCCAGATTAATTCATTGTGCATCCCCATGTATGTGCGTCCTTGCCTGTGCATGCTACAGGCAAGTACCCACACCCACGCCTGCATAAAGAGAGCCAGTTGTATAAATAGGTCAGCTGTATGTAACAGGCCACTGCTCACATTCACATGGTTTGCAAAATGTCCCAGTGCTTACCACTGATTAAGTATTCACATTACTTGTTTTGGTTATATAAGCACTATAATTTGCAAATCATATGTGCGCGGGATAAAAAAAAAAAAACACACACAAAAACATGGTGTATATTAATTTTTATGAATGCAGTTACTGTAGTGGCAGATTCTATGCTTCATTTAACACACCACAACCATTTGACTGCTACATTTCATCGCTTAAATTTTGAGAAATGATTTCTGTTTATCTGTAGGCATGACAAGGTGCATCAAATGCATAATGAAAGAGAATTTTCTTCAAAAAGCATACCAACTTGTTTTGTTTAGTCATTAGGCAAAAATCTATAGCAAGATTTGATTTTTCTTTTTGTTTGAAATTACATTAAATTTGGTCACAATTTCAATTATCAGACGTTTGATTTTTCAGAAGTACCCATAAACTATTTTCATTTTAATTTGGCCTTTTAAGAACTGTATGTAGTGTTATGTAAAGTCTGTGCCTCTTGACTTAGTTTATTCATATGCTTTGCCAGAGTTGTACTGTTTTGAAAACTATTGCAGTACAAGGGCACGCAAAGCTTTACCTGAAAATAACACAGCATGTAAATAATTAACATTCTGGTTTGCACATTAAATAGCTTCTCTGGACCACAATGATGTTACCTTGTGAAGTCAGCCAGAGACATGGCAGTGAGTTTCCCCTCTGTATCTTTTTAGGTAAGGATCTCATTGATCCTAAAGAAGTTGAGAGCATAAGGCATCAGCTTGAAGATGCACAGCGCTGGAATGCCTCTCTGCAGGCTCGCTTAGGAGCCATCCAGAACCGTGGAGGAGGGGTTGGTGGAACCAGTGATGGTGGTAAGACCTGAAAAAATAAACCGGATTTTACATTTCAATCTGTGCAGCAACATATTTCAAGAGATTTGGTGGATTGGAGTCCTTTTGTTACTTGTGACTTAATATTTTTTCTGTGTTTTAGGTGACACTTTGAGTTTTATTGGTGATCAGACTTCCTACATGAGTATATGTGTGGAAGAGGGGCACGATAACAGCTTGTCTCTTTTCTCTCCACAAGAGCTCAAACAGAAGGTAAATTACTGAGAAAAATTAAGTGTGTTATTTCTCAATCTTATTGTTATATAGCTTCATATAAATAAACTATATATTTAATTAGTGGGTCAGTTCCCTCAGCAGAATGGATAAAGGTGTATGCTTCTGGGCTTTAGGTGCTAGAGCTGCAGGACTCTGTCAGCAGACTGCAGGCATTAAATGGCGAGCTGCAGAGCCGACTGACACTATTGCAGATGTCAGAGCATGACTCTTACAACAAGGAAGACAAAGAAGTGGCCAGCAGTAGCCCTTGTAAAAAGGTTAGAAGCCACAAAAGACAGCTGCAAATTGAGGAAAGTGGACTTGCAGTTATGGCATCAAAGTTTATTAAAGTGCCCATGGTATGCTTGCTCATTTCCAGCCATTTAATGTTTAATCTTGGATACCTCTAGATTAGCTTTGCACCCATCATAACTCCAAATAGTCTGTAATTATTTCAGAATGATAAAACTTGAGAGCCTCCTCCTGAAAACGAGAGGATAGTTTGTGAATTCCCACAGCTCCTGCTGCTGGTGTTGTGTTGAAATATGTTTGCCCAGCCTTACAGCAATGCTCTCTACAGAAACGATGCATTAATGGACATGCGTGTGTGTGTGTCTCTCTCTCTCACACACACACACACACACACACATATACTGTGTTTTCGTTCCTTTTGGGGACTTTACATTGACTTACATTCATTTCTAATAGACCTGTCCTAACCTTAAACCATGTTGTCACCCTAAAATTCAGTGTGGTCCTCACAAGGAAGGCCGAGTCCCCACAGTGTGAGTATGTTAACAGGTTTCGGTCCCCATAATGTAAGTAATACAAAGGCACTCCTGTACACACACTCAGATCACCTACTGTTCATGAACACCGGTGTTTCGGCGTCTGTCTTTATTGCACACTCTTTGTGTGTTGGAAACTGTGACTGTTTACAAATACCTAGCAGTTTGTGCATTGTGTTTGCTTGTTTCCTGGCATTTCTCCACCATTATTTCACCTTTGTTTAGCTGCATATGCTGTATGGGATTGAAAACCAAATGAGCCTAATGGATCCACAAGGCATGGCACTGCGACCCGTAAATTAAGTCCCACAGATGTGCTTCTGTAGATTAATCTTTCCGCTCATGGGCAATTATTTTGGCAGTGACGCTGAGGCATGAGGCTGATTTGAAACAATTACAGCCCAGGTTGGGCAAAATTAGCTCATTCATTTCCCAGGGCCGCTGATAATTGAGAGTGAGGGCATTTTAGAAAGCAGCCAAGGGCTAATTGGTTTTTAACATCAGCATGTCCTTCAGCCAACTTTAGGGTTAAAATCTCTTAGTAAATTGTCTCTCAATTGTGTTTTCTATCAAGAAAGATATTAGTCAGGATTTTGTATATGGATAATTAAATTATCTTTGAATTGCTACTGTTTGTTTTTTAAATGTTATAGACTATAGAATGTCAGCTACTTTATGCATTACCACTGTGCTAACCTTCACAGCTGGACAACTTTTATCACCGGAGTTGTTCCTCTGCCATAACTCTCATGTAACTGCAGTTCTCTTCCTTGTCTTGATGTCAGTGGCCTCTATCTCCTCCTTTGGCCAGCTTATTATGCCAGCGGGGTACCTGATGACCGGCAGGGCGTAGGTGTTGATTGCCCGGACTTTGTTCTTCCAATTCAGCTGACTTCTCAGGACTTGCCTTACTCTCTGCAGGTACTTGGTGGTTGCTGCTTTCCTTGCAGCCTCTTCATGGTTCCCATTTGCATGCAGGATCCCAATGGTATGGAATGGTAACGAGGAGAGGGAAGGTAGTCAGAACTGAGGGGATTATACTACCAGAAGGCAGCATAGCAGATCCCTATATATATATATGACCATTTAAAGAAATCTGTAAACTATCATGTAATAATTTACATTGTTGGGGGGGAAAAGTCTCACAAGCGAGAGTTTATGAGAATTGTATAAACAGATTTGCTTCTGCATAGACGTACTAGAACATACACCTCATATTTTGAGCTTTAGGTCATGTTTAAGATGATAACTCACCATTGTAACATTGTAGATAAGTCAGAAAATGAGGAAAATCATGCCATGGGCTCTTTAAGACAGCTTACTTACGATTTATTAGAAAATCTTTGCACAGCATGTCAACATTTAGCAAATACTTGATGAGTCATGTCGGGGCATTGTCTAACACCCACCTTTTAAGCTCCTTTCTAACCTTTGAACTTACATCTTTAACCTCTACTCTGTCTAGCCTGTTACTAATGTCTCTGCTCTGTGGTTCTGTGTGTCGTATTTCTCTAACAAATGTGGTTCTTGTCTGTAGTAGAAGATACTCTCTCTTTCTATCCTTCACCGTTCTTAATCAGTCCCTTTTTTTTCCATCTCCGTGTCCCATGAAATGATTTGCCATGCCACATTAGACGCATCATGCCATTCTGCTGTTGCTGTGCAACGTTTTATGCATTTTGTTCCTCTCATTACGCTTTTTTTACCAAGCCACATGTGTCATACTCGCCTCCCATCCCATTACTCTAGCAGCTAGAGAAGATGCAGGAGACACAGCTTTTGATTCACAGTAACAAGACGCACCCCTCCAGTCAGGACAAAGAGAGCCAGACAGACATCAAGCAGGTATCAAACAGATGATCATTTACTAAACTTTCAAAAGCTTTTGAGGTGTTTTAGGACAAATTTCAATGTAAATATAATGAGAAATTCCATTTCTTATATAAGTTTTCCTGTCTTTTCAAATTACTCCTTTTCAGATGGTGTTTGGAAAGCTGTTGGATGATGAGAACATGGACAGTGGCCTTGGCCAGAGTAGAGAGCACACTCAGTCTGGCAACAACTCGATAGAGACTGGAGAGGGAGATTCTAGGGAGAAGAACATAGATGTAATGGCACTTAAATCTTTGCTGACTGACTGGGGGGCCACATCAGTTTTGCACCTTAGGTGGGTCTTTTCTTCAGCAGTGTCCAGATCCTGTTCTTTATTTTTACTGCAAGTGTCAGTGACTAATCAAAATACCCTTCTTGCAGAGAGCAGCTGCTCAGGCTTAAATCGGAGAATGCGGAGCTGCGGGGTCTCCTTAAAGAACAAACTTCTACTGAGTGCAAAGAAAAAGAGAACATAGATGCTTCAGGAAACAGCACTGAGGAACAGGCTGAATTGAAACAGAGCATGGAAACACTGCAGTCTGAGTCAAAAGGTCACTCTAAGGTCATCAGGCTGCTAAACGAAAGCAGAGAGAAGATGTCTAATGAGGAGTCAGAAGGAGAGACCCCTGTCACTTCTGAGTTAATTGTCAGCACCACAGAGGTGATTGAAAGTTCACAAAGTAAAGGCCAGTCACACAGCAAGAGGGCAAAGCATCATGTTGCAAGACATGGGGTACGTTTTGTACAACAAAAGTAATAGGACACACCACATTGCTCCTTCCATAAAGTCAAGCTGTCACTATTTTTAATATCTGCTGTTATATTTATATCGATTTTAGGTTGGGGTCAAATCTCGCCTCCCTGTCCCTGTGAGGCTGAGAGTCGGAACTAGCAGCAGCAGCAGCAGCAGCAGGCCTTCTGATGATAACTCTCACCCTCTGAAAACTGACACACTTCAGCGCCTGCATTTGGATGGTGTCTGTGGGTCTGACCAACAACTTCATGCAGAATGTGACTCCCCCATGTCACTCCAGCAAAGCACTTCCCCTTCTTCCACACTCAGATATGCACATTGCAGTGGCAGTTCAGTAGGGTCGAACGAGGGCAGTGAAGCCGGAGACACACTGGATCACATCCAGGCTGACTCTGCTCTTTTCACTCAGCTGGAGCTCCTCCACCAGGAGTGCCAGGAGAAGGAGGCCCTGATCAACAAGCTCACTGAGCAGCTTGAAGAGCTCCATGCTCAGCTACAGGAGAAAGAACAACTTAATATCCAGTATGTGGAGGCCTTAGAGGCTGCACAGTCCACTATTGCTTACTTGACTGCCTGCAGTCTGGAGAGCCAAGGAGGATTTGGGTCACACATCAGTTTGGGCACAGGCTCTGGCTCTGTGGGTTTAGATGCCGCCCTCCACAGTAGATGCATGGAGCTACAGAAAACCCTGCAGGAAAAGGAGGAACGCAACAACCAGCTTATAGAGCTTCTGAACATGGCAGAGCACGCCATCTCCTCCTCTGACAGCCATGGAAAGAATCCAGAAATCACTGGTCTTTGCTTAAAGATAAAGGACACCTTAAAGCAGGTGAATGCGTCCTTAAATAGAGCGAGCACAAGAAGTGTTTTTGGAAACACTGAGGACTCTGTGCAGGAGTTGCAACGACATGCAGACTCTTTACAGGAAGCACTTTGGGAGCAGAACAGGCTTAATGCAGAGCTGCAGGAAAAACTGAGAGCTGCAGATGCTGCTGTAAAACAGGGCTCCAACAGTAACAGTGCTGGTCAGAATGATAAATGTTCAAGACTGATAGCAGCAGAAAAGGAGTCAAAGGAAGGAGTATGGGGCTTTGATAATACCAGTTTGAATCGGGAGATGACTGCAGTTCTGATGAACTGCCTTAGTGCAGCAGAGACTGCCATTGCCTCTTTGACAGCACACTGTTCACATACTGGCTCCTTGTCTTCTGCTAGATCATCACAAATCAGCCCTGATCTACAGATGAATTTAGACAGACTTCAGGCAGCCCTGCAAGAGAGAGAGGAATTGAGAGGACATATTCAGCCAGCCACCAAATCTGGCAGCAGTCAATCCACCACTTCAGCTGGTACAAAAAGACAACTTGACCCAGAGCTTCATCAAAATCTCTGTCTCCTCTACAAGATTTTCAGTGATCTCTCCCAGAGGATTTCTGAACTGCAGGTTTCCCTCCAAGAAGAGAGGAGCCATAGACAGGAGAGTGAGGCCCACAGGACAGTGCAGGATGGAAAGGCGCTGCCTTCAAGTGTTCAGGTCCAACTAGAGACTCTCCATAAAGCCCTGAGGGAGAAGAAGAAAGCATGTAAAAGCCTGGAGGAGAAACTGGCCACTGCTCTTACTAAGACACCCTCTCTTGAAACTGCACACAAAAGTAAGCTAACACATACTGAGTTGCTTGCTTCAAAAATTCCAATTTGTATTAGTTTAGTCATTCTGGAAAGGTATGTCTGGTTAACATTAAACAATTTCATTAGTTCAAATCAAACGCCTTAAGGAGAGAGACAAGATTCTGTACATGTTAAATGATTTCTACCTAACCCAACATATATTACCTCTAATGCCAGCTCTGGAGCAGGATGACAAAGGCGTGCAGGTGGATTTGCAGGACCTGGGTTACGAAACCAGTGGCAAGAGTGAGAACGATAGGGAAGAGAGCAGTAGCACAGGTAGATGGCCTATAGACAGCATGTCTGTCTGCTGAGTGGACACTAATCTCAGTGTGGATAGATTCTCTCTACATCTCTGCATGAGGAGTGAGCAAAGGCAACTATAACACATTGTTGGACCTTAAATAATGTTTTATGTTTGAGTCTTGTAACCACATGCTCTCTTTTCTGGTTTTCACCTGGGGTTTCTCAGCACTATTCCCAAATTTGAATGAGCTATCAGTACTCTGCATTGATGAATTCTTGCATGGTTCCACTCTGTATTTGGGAACGTCTTTCCAGCACTTAATAACCCTTCACTTTTATTTCTTGTCACTTTTTAAATGATTTATTTCCTCATGTGGCACTATCACCTTCTGCTTTGCAGAACGTTTGTTTTTTTATATTTGAGTGTTTCTGTGTCCATTGTGTTGCCAGACATAGAGGTTGGTGTGAAGCCTAGTTGCAGCGCCTCTAGCCTGCCTTCCCTGCTGAAACATGAACAGGCCACTTTCTCATCTACTGAAAACCTGGACTCAACCTCCAGCACCCCATATCCGAGTTCTCCAGCTCTGAGCTCAGCCAAGGTATTCAACTTATGGTTCACTAAACCCCTCCCTTGAATGACAGCTGTCCATATGTCACATCATAGCTTATGGTAGCAGAGTTATCTAGCAAGCTACAGCTAATAAAATCAGCTAGTAGCCAGTTTTGTTGCTGGCAAGAGATGAGAACCTCTGCATGAAACTGAGGTCCTGTGTTTCCAAATTAATATACATTTTGCTGCTGTTGTGATTGCAAACTGTGTTTGTACCTTGTGAGAATGGAAAACTCGAAAGGTATAGAAACTAACTAAAAGGAGCAGGGCTTAGTGGTTAACCATTCACACACTACAACTTATTCAGATCATTTGCAGCTGTAAAAATTGTGAAACACATATCAATTTTTATCTTTGTTTTTTTGTTTAACTTCTGTCTCTTTTCAGGTCAGTTTGAAAGGCCTGCAGGTCTTTGATGAGTATGGGGTGTCTGAGGACCCTCTCCAGCTTCAGGCACAAGTCAGAGAGCTGAAGGTCCAGCTAGAAAACCAGACCAAACTCATCCAACAAATGCAAAATGTTCTACGTAGAAACTCCCTCTTCAGTGACCTTGTTCCCAACACTTCTGACCCATCCATTGTCAAGGATCAAGGGACACAGAAGCAGGACCATAGCCGAGATAGAAGCTACAGAACTGAGCAGCTGAGCGAGAAAAAGGAGGGAGAGACCCAGGCGATTAAGTCTAAAACCAGCCATGTAAATATGGATGTGGAAAGAGAGAGGACGCCGAACAGAAGCATGAGTGAACAGCTGCAGCAGACCTGTAGTCGCTCTACATCACCTGCAAGGTGCACAGTCTGTTTAGTGCATTATAATTATTAGACTATTTTACTCTGGGTGAAATCTGTGCAGTCATTTTGTAAATCAAATCTTTACTCACGCTGTCAACTGCGGTATTTTTTTTCTCTGGTTGCACTTGTTCTGTCGTCTCCACAGACTGGACTCCCTAGTGCAGTCACAGGCCAGGGAGCTATCACAACTGAGACAGCAGATCAAGGAGAGCCGCAGGCTGGGAGCCCTGCAGCGTCGACAGCTGGAGGAGCTGAACAAGGCGTTTAAGGAGCTGCTACAGGACAGTAAAGTCGACCACTACATGGGAGAGGTGGTCAGAGAGCAGCTGGACAAGAGCCTGAGCCTTGTGGACAGGCTGGAGGGACGGCTGGACAAAAGTAGCTGTGATGGTATTTTTCATTCCTTGTCCTTGAAACAAATAGAGCTGATCAGAACCACGCAGCATAGTTAATTATGTGATGTCATTTTATTTGTGATATATTACAGTGCTAAAACACAAAACTCCAGCCAACATGCATGCAAGTGAAGAATGATGTTGAGCCATTGTCTGCCAGGGCAGTAAATAAATCAGAATTTAAATATTCAGTAAAGTAATTATGATAGACTGTAGAGAAAGCACATGACCAGTCATTCATAACTGATTTTTACAGACAGGTCCTTAACAACATCTTTTCCTCTGTCATCTAGGAGAACCTCATCTGGATAATGAGAGTGTGGCGGCTCTGGAACTGTCTCGCAGGTTTGTCAAACCCTTGTATTTGCTTATTGTTGAACTCTTAATTAAATTGCCTGTTTTCAATTTGACACATTTTTGACACAACATTAATCTCAAAGTTAGGTTTGAGCTGTGCTTTAATGATACGATTAATTGATTAGTTTAGAATTTTAGGAAAAGTGCTTATTCTAATCCACTTTCTGATGGAGAGTTCAATGAGAAGACTGACTCAGCTCTAGCTATAATATAAGGCTAGAGACAGCAGCTGCTGGACAAACAGCGAGATTGACTGTCAAACGTTAACAACAACAAAAACAGCGCAGATGAGATTTATTCTGCTAGTTTTGTATCTTTCTTTTGACTGATTCTGTGTTTTAAGTCATATTGTACGCGTTACTGTCGGAGATTTGAGGTTCATTGGCTGAGCTGTTTTGTCTCATGACCCTTTTAAACACCCCCACCCAGCCAGTTGACCCTGGGCAGCGCATGTGTTGTTGGATTTGAATAGCTTCCTGCAGTGACCTGATTTTTCTGTGTCAAGCAAAAAAGTAAGGTTACATTGCTCCTAACTGAGCCGCTGCTGTCTCAGTCATCAGGGTATCAACACACACTCCATATGTCAATCTTCATCCATTTATGTCCTTGCAGCAGTGCCTTGCAGAGTATGTATGTGCAATTTAACCCTCTGAACAAAATTTATAACACCTTGTTAGCACTTACATTTTTTTTATTACCCATTATTTACAGGAAATAAATGATCAATGATCAATGATCAAGTGCATTTCCTTTATGTTTAAGTGGGCATCAGTGATTCTAAAAGTTGCTATTTATGGTTTTTTAACACAGTAGCATTGCTTTTATGGCTATATAATCATGTGAAGACTTAATATTTCAACAGCACTTTGGTAGAATTAGATTAGAAAGTTAGGTTGTGCAGTGATAGAAGATGTACGTTAATCCATATTACAACTGATGTGGGCAGTCTTGAGGAGCTTCAGCAGGGATCACAGTCACTGCTGTCCTATGAGGAGAACATGAGAGAGTTTGCTGACAACCCTGCAAGAATCCACCAGGAGTTAGATAATCTGCGAGTGGAGCTAGAGGGCGAGAGAGAGCTGCTGCAGCAGCATGTCAACCTCCTTGTCTGTCAAAACCTCACCCTGGTTGAATGCACCAGAGAGCAGATGGACCTGTGAGTGGGTTTTCTACAGACAGCATGACGTGTGCTGTGAACTCCTCTTTCATATTTTCCAGCTGTGTGTTTCTGATGAAACATGGGAACATGGGTATTTTTACTTGGCCTGTTCTGCCTTCAGTGCTGTTTCTCAAGTTGTTCACATTTTGTCGCTCTGCAACACACAGCCAAATGATGTGATGGATAAAACCCAGCTCTTGGGTGATTTTAAAGACTGAGCCATCCCAGGTGGTGTTAAAATGACTCATTGCTCCTCCTGTTCCTGCTCCCCCAGGTTAGCTAAAGAGCTGCAAGAGAAAAACCATCTGATCCAGAGCCTGCAGAGCCAGTTAAGAGGTCAAAGTCCCAGCAGCCACCACAGCTCTCACTCTGATCTGTACTACTCGGACAGGACTGCCTCCTTCTGCCACAGCAGTGCCGCCACACAAGGTGCTAGTCAAGCTCACGGTAAGTATTTCCAGCTGCAGTATTTAAACATAGTGTCAATAATGGAATTTATTTGTGAATGTGTGTGAAAGTCAAGTCCAGTTACAGTGTTAAGTGTCAGATGCTGGGCTCAGCCAGGTATAGTATGTGCTAGACTAGGATCAACTCAAGTTTGCTCCATTAAAAATTTATTTCCTCCTACCTTCTCTTGCCCCAGTGGTATGCCATTGACATTAATCAAGTCCCTGTCCATGGGCCCAGCCACTCTTGTCAGAGGCCGTGGCACTTATTTTCCACTCAGATCCATTCTGTTGAAGTGAGTCATCTCGCAGGACAAAGCGTGCCTGCCAAAGTCTGAGCAGGTGTTGAGTTTCAAGTCCAGCTTCACTTGGTTGCATTATTCAGTGGTCCCTCTCCAATTCAATCTCCAAATTGTGTTTCCCTAAGTAAAAGAGACAGTGCAGACTATGAAAGAAACAAGTGAAGCATGTGAATATGTGAGAGATCCTGCAGAGGGCCCTGTCAACCCTAACTCACACTTCTCTGTGTTACTACATTGTGTAGTTGCAGACTCTTCTCCCATTTACTCCTGACATCATAGTGATTCTGCAGCTGCTAGTGTTAGCATGCAGGCTAAGAATGACATTCTGGTTTACTGTCTCCAGCTATAGTTCCTCAGACATGAGCTCAACGCTGAATTAAATAAATAAAATTTAAAAAATTGAGTTGTTTGACTCAATTTTTAATAATTTTATTTTTAAAACACATTTAAAAACAAGTCATTGACCAAAGTGCTGTACAAGAATAAAGAAATAAATGAATAAATAAAAATTAAAACTGAATTAAAGAATCATAAACAAAAGACAACAGGGTAAAAATAAATACAGTTACATAAAATAATTCACATTGCTACAATAGGGCTACAAACTCTGGTAAACAGGAAAAACCAAACAGTAATAATGGTTGATGATGGGAAACAGGTGTTCCACACAAAAACACAGAGAAATGGATCAATTAGTAGGTTGAATATGTAAGTTTTCATTTCTCATGATTGATTTATCTACTTGTTCCTGTGCTTCTGTACATGTTTAAGGCCAGCAACCCCCCACTGTTTGGACGGGAGCAGCTGTCTCTCCTGTAGGAGGAGCTCAGGAGGAAAGTGCATCTGGTCACAGGGACACTGCCAGCAGACTGCAAGGCCTGCAGAGGGAGAACGGACGACTGCAGGAGCAGCTGAGGAGCAGCGAGGAGCTCAACGCCAACCTACGCAGTGAACTGGACCTGCATCGCTCAATTATGGCCCAGGCGAGCTCCGACCATCAGGAACAGGGTCAGAACCATGACCAGGAGGGGTCAGGGCCTCAGATGGAAGCGCATGAAGGAGAGACAGACATCAGCTCACAAAAGAATGCTGCTGAACAGCCTCACACAATGAATTCAGGTAGGTGATTACTATCACAGTACGTTTAGATTTTCTATGTTTAACATAATGGTATTATTGAGAACAGCATCTTTTACACAGCAGTGGTTCAAATTAAGGGAGCAAAATTAAATTTATTAATCACGTTTATTGAAAACAAGCAAGTTATGTATTAAAGGCACACACCACCAATTTTAGATATAAAATTTGGTTTACTCGTATTCTGCCTGTGAAAGCAGATGGATAGTGTTGTTTGTGGTTCTGGAGGGAGGAAGAGAATCGGAAAGACTTTGAAAGACTTGGACATTTACCAGGCAGGGAACATCTAACGAAACATGCCATCACAGCAGGAAGTGTAGGTTATAGTGGTTTTGTAATTTGACAGATAAAAAGGGCTAAAAGCTGAGAAAACCCTTTTAAATCTGCCTGATATAAGTCCTTCACTTTTTTAACTAAGTGTAATATTAAATCCTTTTGAAGTACCCCTCTGGTTTAGCTTTGTCCATGTGGGTCTTTCAGATGTACTGGCAGAACATCTACAAGAGATCCGAGCTTTGCGACAGCGCCTGGAGGAGAGCATTCGTACAAACGACCGTCTCAGGGAACAGCTGGAGAAGAGACTCTCGGAGGTGGAGAAGGACCCAGGTATGTATTGTCCTGTTCTGTTTGTCAGTGAAGCTGGGAGGAAATTCTGCAAATGCTTTTCTCTCATCCAGTTCACTTACTGTATCATTTGGAGACTGACGAGTATGCATGTGCTTCAGCAGCTACCAACATCTTCATCCATGGCAGTGAGGAGCAGGGTCATCTGGCCAATGAGATGAGACTCCTCTGGGTACAAAACCAAGCACTGAAGGAACAGCTCAACTTGGTGTCTAGAGGTAAAACACTTTTGTTTTTTTTTTAGAAACTGATTTGAGTATAATGGAGACATCTTCAGTCAGAGAGGCAAAATGTTTCCATATACCAATCCCCTTCTGGCTGATAGTGTTTTAGGTTTATTAAATACATACTCTATCCCTGGTATGGTGCTTTAACATGAACGTTTTCTCCTCCAGACAAGCAGAAGGAGAATGAGAAGCTACAGGAGACTCTGGCCAGGCGGACGGCCAAACTGGAGCAGAGCAGGAAGGAGTGTGAAGTTCTGAGGCAGGAAAACAACCGACTGCAGGAGAGGCTGGAGCAGAGCAGCCAAGAAAAGTCACAACTGCAGGATTCACTGCACTACAGCAAAGAGGAGCTGCACAGGTACACACACGCAGGTGTATTAGATACACTTTTACAACAACTCTGCTGTTCCAGCCTGAAACTACACAAAGCTGCTTACTTACCAATGTAAAGAGTCTTTACCATTACACCATACTATTAGTACAAAATCATACGTATCATTTGAAGGCTCATCCATGAACACAAGTGTGCACGCACCATAATGATGGTATGTAGCCTCTTGCCCCAGTTGCTGCTGTCACAGCTGAGTGAGGCCAATACCTGAAACCTGGAGTTGAGTTTACTGTCAGATCATATCTCCTCTCGCTTTCCTCACCTTGTCACTCTGTGCATGTAGCATGTGCACTGTTTATATTAGGCTCACTGGTTGTTGTTTTGAGCCATGTTCACAAAGTTTTATATTTATTTATTTTGCAAATTGATTTGACTTTTCACTCAGAATTTACAGTCAATTGCCAGTTTATGAAGCACACCTGGCTAAAATGAATGCAATCTGCTACAACAGACCAGTCATTTTATTCAGTCTTCCCATCATTAAATTGAATTTTCTGTGCATTGGGTGTTTCCAGGCTGGAGTATGAGGTGAAGCTCCAGAGGCAGCAGCTGTCTGACTCCCAGCATCTCCTCCAGTCACTGAGGGTGGAGCTGCAAGTTTATGAAAAGATGAAGACAAAAGATCAGAAACACAAAGGTACTGCAGGTTTGTTTGCCAGTACAGCAACTGATATTAGATATTGCTTATAATCATTCAGAGACAAGGCAGTCAAGCTACTGCTGCAAATCTTCTAAGTGTTTATCTTTCCAGCCTGTATCAGTCTTTGTAGCCAAACCTAGATTAGATCATATCGGTTTTGGATTTGATACTGTTGAAAGCCTTATGCAGAGTAAAAAGCTCTGCCCTCAAACTGTGGTATTATGGAGTGGGGTTCTGGGGTACCGACAGATATTGATAGATGCCCTTTCAAATTGTCTAATCACAGTTGTAAAGACCCTGATATTTTTCCCCCAGTGTTTTCTGCATCTTGTTGGTTTGCTGCAACACTAATGAGATGGTGTTTCCTTTATTGTACCTTCTGAGTAGAATCCAGTGAGACGACCCAGGAGCCTGTCCCCACCCCTTCCTCCGGCTCCGTGGACCTAGGTGAGCTCCTGTCAGAGATCAGGCACCTGAGGCTGCAGCTGGAGAGAAGCATCCAGACCAACACGGCACTGCGACAGAGACTGGAGGAGCAGCTGTTCAGAGGAGCCAACCGCTCTGAAACCATTAACATCAACTACCTGCTGTCCTCTCCAGGTAAACATAAGGCACACACTCATGTGCTAATATCCCATGGCACAAATGCAGAGGCTTGTAAACACACAGCAGTCTGTCAGGTCAATGTTGGTTTTACCTTTTTCTCAGATGAAGGGGGCAGGTCCCTGAGTCGTGAAGGCTGTGATTCTCAGCGTTACTCATTTCAGTCTTACAGTAAACACATCGGTGTCCACCATGGTAAGAAAACCTCACAGTCGGCCTGATGTTTGATCGTAGCAGTAAAAACAAGCTAATTCAGATTATTAGCCTTGTTATCACGCAGTATTTTAAAATATATGCTTACATCTTTTCAGATGAGAAACGTCATGCTGCTTCAGAGGAGGATGGTGGCTCAGTCAGCAGCAGCTCTGGTGACAGCATTTCTGGTGCTCCCTCTCGCCTGGTGCCGGGCCACCGGATGTGGGCCAGTCGCAGCGGTCGCCACATTTTGGGCCTGATTGAGGACTACAGCGCCCTCCGCAAGCAGATCTCAGAGGGTCGTAAGCTGTCACGCAGCATGGACACACAACTGCAGGAGTGTCTGCACACACTCAGACTGCAGGGCTCTGACAACAAGGTACGTTTTAGACACTTTGAGTTGTAGTTAGTGTTGTAGTGACTGATAATAATGGGAACACAGTAACTGATTGTGAAGGTTGTTATAAGGTATTTACTAGTTATTAAAATTAGACCCACCATTCAGCAGTTTGCACAAATTATATATATTATACCTATTGTCAACAGAGCCATTGTGTAATGGACCAGCAGCATGTGAAGAATCTGTCGAGCAGCGTGAACACAATGCAGCAGGTGTTGGAAGAGGCCGCTCGCCTGCTCAAGCTGCTGTGGAGAGTCTCTTTGCCAGCTGGAAACACAGCAGGGCACAGCAGCAGCATCCAGCAGGTAGATATTCACAAGTACATACTGTACTATACTGTATCTACCCTGTACAATTAAGTATCAGTGGATCAAATTTTGACCTTTTTATTCTCCAAATCAGGACGAGCTGCTGAAAAATGAGATAGCCAGACTGAAGAGCCAGCTGTCGCAGCAGGAGAAGCTGCTGAGTGGAGCCGTCAAACGCCTCCGCACCACTAACCAGCTCAAAGAGGGAATGGAGAGGGTCATCATCGATCAGTGTATGATTATTTTGTTTTAACAGCTTGTACTGTATACTAGACAAACCCATTACTCAGTTCAAAATTAATTGGCGGCTGTTTTGATAACTGAAGTCATTTATCAACACAAAATGTCAAATATTGTCTGGCTCTAGCTTGTCACATGTGGGGATGTGCTACTTTTCTTTGTGTTATTGTAAACTAAATGATTTCCCCCCTTTTATACAGTGTCTTTAACTCACGGAGTGTTGAAGAAGGCCAGGGGCAATTTAGAGGTGAGTTTACCCACACAGCCACACAGCCAGACTACAGTTGAAATGTCAAACTGTTCTTTTTCAGCAGTGAACTGATTTCCTTCAGTGAATCTTTCTTCTTCTTCTCATCCTCTGTGAAATAATGATAGACAAATTACTGTGCCCTCTATGGCCTGAAAGGCCTGTGTGGAGGACCAGACGAAGGTTAGTGTGGTTCAGGTGCAGGCTTCTGATTGATCTCATGCATGAGGTTCTCGTGAGTTGGTTTCAGCTGTTGCATGAAGCAGAAACCAACATTTGAGTTCTTTGTACATTGAGGCGTTGTCTATTTTGGTCAGAATTAATTGAGCTGCACCAAAAAACCTGGAAATGTAATATGTTGTGTTCTGAGTGGAAAAACGTGCATTTGTGACGCATGATAAGGAAATGTTATTCAGCTAGCATTTTGGGAAATACACTTAACTTGATCTCTGGCAGAGTTGTACTGCATTCTCAAATGAGAATTTGGGAAAGCGGCTAGTCTGGATCAGTCCAAATTACAAAAATCCACTGACTAGTGTCTCTTAACATTCACTTCTTAGTGGCAGTTATTTTGATTTATTTAACATTAATGTAATATGTTTAAAATTGTTGATAAAAAGAAAGCCAAAAGCTTATTCCCATTATAGCCCTGTTATTCTTTCAGTTACTTAGCTTTAGAGGAACCGGTGCTTTGGATCCAGGCTAGTGGTTACCCTGTGTTTTCAGTCTTTATGCCGAGCTTGAGGCTGTAGCTTCACATTAAATCGACAGATGCACGACCCTGCATGTCTAAGTTGAGGCTAAAAGTTTTTCAGCACCTGCCCTGTGTGTTTCAGGAGGTCCCAGTCGGTGGCCAGTAGGGCACACCACAGACGCTCAGCCTGAGCAGAGGCCTGCTCCTGTTCGTAGACGGGCCACAGACTCAGAGGATCACAACAGTGACAACTCTTTGTACTGACCCTACTAAATCAGCTGTTTCAATGCCCTACACTGCTTTTGATAATGTAGGTACCCAATGTTCATTCTGTCCAGCTGTGAAACTGTCACCTTAATCTCCAGGTAGCAAAGCCTTTTTGTACTATAACTGCACAAATCCTGCCTAAGAATTTGATTCATTTTAGGTACTGAGTTTGTTAAAGTTTATTTTTTAAAGAAGAGCCTTTGTAAATTTCTGCAATCTAAATATTTTTCCTCTTTTGATAATGCATAAGAACATGTATTTTATTATCAGCTTACTGTTTTTACCTTTTCACCTGTCAGTTTGTAATAGGATGGTTCAGTGTGATCAAAGAATTATGTGCAGATGCAGTAAAAAAAAGTTTAATGATGAAACTAATTGTGGTATTTAAGTCCCTTTATTAGCATATAGTTTTTTAAAAGTATAAATCTTGGCAGCTGCTTCAAAATGCAAACATGGGTAAGCACAGGTTTAAAAAAACAGCCAAACTCAAATCAAGACCCAGATAAAGTGAAGTAAATTAGAAAAGGTCTAAGTTTTACAGAGGAAGACTTTCTGTTACCCATTCATGGAGAGAGAATAGCCAAAAGGTCAAATTTGTTAATTAGCATTTAAAACGTCTCTGGCCGTTACGCATCATCAGTGACCTATAAAACTAGGCCGTGGCGAGCTGGATCACAGTCAGTGACTGACGTTTAGTAGCACCAAGATCTCCTCGTAACAGTAGCTTCTCATTGGCATTTTTAATGTTAACACTTTGTTATAACTGTATTTGACCACAACCAAAGAGTTAGGCCATTAGATTAAACTCCAGGTCAGAAATCTGTGCCATTTGAAGGACTAACTGTACACAAAGTTAACGTTTTCTGTTTGTACTATTGAAGATGTAAAAACAATGTTTGTTTTGTAACTGAACAGTGAGTATTTGCATGGGGGGGTGGCTCTGCATCTTGTGCTGGAAATTACATTCATCTCTGCACAAGTCTGACAAAGGCCTGGACTAGTTGGATGATCGGCTCCTGACCTTCGTGGCTCACCTTGGAGCCCGGTGTGGGCGGTTTGGACTGGGTGGCCGGAGACGAGGGCGAGCCCCTGCGGAAGTGGCGGGACAGGCTCGAGAGAAGAGTGCTCTGGAGGGGATGAAAACCAGAATCAAAGACGTTAGTTAAAATTCTGTAAGTAGATTATAAAGGATAAAGACGGTGTTATTTTAAATATCTCGCTTTCAACAAATCCCAGGAAAAACACCAGGGTTTTTGCATAATTCAGTTAAGTTTAAGACCATTGTGATACTAGGTTTATGACCACACTGCTTAATC